ATGTCCGCCCCTCATGGCCGGGTGTCATTAAAGATTTGGGCTAGCTTCCAGAAACGCGCTTGTTTCGTACAATCCAGCTTTTAATTTTCTTTTTTCAGATGGTATAAACGCTAGGCTAAGATGGATAAAAGACATAAAGGTTTGATCGACTCCAACCTGAGCAAGTTGGTTGGTTTGGTCAACTATGACGAGATTAAACCTCATCTTCTTAATCTCAGGATATTCCCGTCTACTCAGCTAAAACGGTAAGCAGAGGCGAATACAGGGGGGGGGTATGGTTGCTCAGCCCCCTCGCCCTGGATTATTGAAATCTATGATTTCTTGACGTCTATCCACCCCCCCCACACCCCCGAACGAATTCTCGTATACGCCCCTGACAGCATCCACCACAGAGAAAGTTCAGTTCTGAAAGTAAAACAAAACTAAAACAAAACTTTTAGTTGGGATTAGCGAGAAAATTATCTCAATATCAAAAGAATCAACTATCAAAAGTTTAAATACGTGGACATACTAAACTAGGTCCAATGCCAACACATGTGTAAATAACAAAATTTAGTCTTTGTCACAAACTCTGATTTTCTAATTTCTTTATCTTTGCAACCCAATACACAATAATGAAGGCCTTAGATATTTCAAGCTATAAATTCTGATAGATATAATAATCAAAGTTAGAAATATCAAAGGTTTATACTATCAGGTTTCAAAGATATAAGGATTAGAAAATATAGTTCGTGGCAAAGACCAGAGGCATATTCAGGAATTTGTCCAGGGGGGGGCTTACATTTTTTTCCAGGGGGGGGCTCAGCACCCGTTGGGGCCTGAAAATCCCCTGAAATCAATAGATTTCACTGGTCCATGGGGGAGCTTAGCCCCCATAGCCTACCCCCCCCCCTGAAAACGCCTCTGGCAAAGACTCAATTTCTTTAAATTAAGATCTCAGGAGTCAAAGTGCGAAATTATTTATCTGTTTTTGGTAATTTTTATCAAACATAAACACAGACTGTTTTATGCCTCCAGAAACCAGAAACCAGCGATAAAAACCAACATCTGGTTAAGTAGTTATGACCACCTGACGGATGTAGAACAGAGGGGCGGCTGTCAACATCTCTTGCAGCGAAAGGGTGCGTTCTTTCTACTCAATAAGAAAGAAGCTTGAAATGGATTGATCCAGTATATCAGAAGAATTCCTTCACTCTACTATTCTCAGGCCTAAGAAGCCCTTAGGCAGCTGGAATCTTGTCAGCCCTCTTCTCAGAATAAATGAAGCGTGAACGGATAAATGTGCTGCCAGATTACAACCCCTGACAGATCAATACAAAAGCCCCTACAACACCAAACTTTCGTAATGGAAAAATTCCAAGATTCGATCGTAACAACCCGATCATGTCCTGGGGACAAAAACATCTCTTTTTGAAAAAAGATATTAGAAGATAATAAAAGACATAATATTGCTAGAGATTACAATAATAATTTATTCAAAAAAGTTCAGATATATTGCGATGAAATTCAGAATTTTTGTTTTCAATATTACACAATTTAAAGGGGTCCTTTCTTGATACGTTAGAGGTGCCTAGAGATTATTAAAATTTTAGATGTAGGAACCATATGTTTCTAGGATTGAGGAACGTTCCAACCCCTGCTTAGAAATGTTCCTGGAGATACAGAGGCGAGGTCCTACTGCGTTCCGTCGTCTTCTTTCCTGTCTCAACCTTGCTGGTAGAATCTTATTATTATTATTATTATTATTATTATTATTATTATTATTATTATTATTATTATTATTAATATTATTATTATTATGATTATAAATGTTAATGTTAATGTTAATGTTAATGTTAATGTTGTTGTTGTTGTTGTTGTTGTTGTTGTTGTCGTTGTTGTTGTTGTCGTTGTCGTTGTCGTTGTCGTTGTCGTTGTCGTTGTCGTTGTCGTTGTCAAAATTAATATTATTTTAGGACAATATGAAGCCCTGGATGTACTAAGTAAGGACGGAGAACTAAGTTTCCTTGATAACTCCGTCCTACTGGAGAAAGCTCCGTTGAACCTACCAACCTTTACACAGACACTAGATCTCACAGATTCACCTATACAACCAAACCAAATCTCAAGTAATTAAAAATTACATTTAGGGTTTTTCCTTGAGGGGTTGATACTCGGGNAATCTATATTAAGTGAGATGTGCCCGATTCACAACGGTACCCTTTATACCTTTATCTGATCAACAATTGTACACGGTGGTCGGCGTATTAATATCAATACAATGAAGACGACTTTCGATTTAAATTTTTATTTTAACCAAACTTTTAAGAAACAAAGTGAAGCTGTAAATTTACAGCTTTTCTTTGTTTACTTGAAAACTCATAATTTGAAGAAAGCTTGTTAAGAAATAAAATCTTAAATAAAAAGTCGTCTTCATTGTATTGATGTAAACGCCGACAACCGTAGAGAAACCGTAATAATTGATGAGACAATGCTTCTGAGGGTACCTCTGTGAATCAGACTTGCCACTGTAAAAATCTAGAGTCGGCTCCTTTAAAGGGATTTATTGTATCTAAAATATGTAATAAAGATTTCCATGTTAAGTTCTGCAAGCTACAGTGTTCCATGAGGAGGATAGGATGACCTATAAGATGACCTCCTCACCCCGCGGGTTTGCTCTAATAGTTGATAACGAAGAATATGACACACTTCCTCCTAGGCGTGGTTCACATGTAGACTCCGGTTGTTTAGCGCAGTTATTTCAGCAGCTCGGATTCTGGGTGATTATTAAGAGAAACCTTGGAAGGGCGAGCCTAGAGTATGAAATAACCAGCTTTGCCACAGATAACTTCCATGTGAACCTGGATATGGCTGTTGTATGTATACTCTCTCACGGAGAGAACGGGACGATTGTTTGCAGGAACGGAGAGAAGGTTGAGGTGGAATCCGTCCTTCAAAAATTTAACAATATTGAAGCTCCGTCCTTGCGGGGTAAACCTAAATATTTCCTAATTCAATCTTGTCGCGGTCTCGAGGTAGATCTAGGAGTACAAACCGATGGTCCTGAACCAGGAGAGAATAATGTAGATATCAACGGTATCCTGCTCAGTAACTTCTCCGCTCCTTCTCCCTTTAATCTCTCCCGAAATCCGTCCTACGAGGATATGATTGTCTCTTACGCAACTATTCCTGGGTTTGTTGCGTATAGGAACAATGTGAGAGGATCATGGTTCGTTCAATCCTTGTGCAAGGTAAGAAAGGGATTAGGGATTAGTGCCTTCTGAAAAAAAAACTAAAATTTTACTTTCTGGAGAGAGAAAAAACTGAAAAAATCTATACTCTTCATTGTTTGTAAAATAAAGCAAAACAATGGAATAACAGGAAAAATATTGGAGAACTGTAATATGTTTAGCTAAGAAAATTCAGGAACCAACTCTGATTTCTTTTATTTCCTATGTCTTTGAGGGTTTTTCAAACTATGAATTTTTTAGTTCAAATAATCTAATTTTGAAATATCAAAGATTTACACTATCAGGTTGCAAAGATAAAGTGATTAGAAAATTTAAGTTCTTGACAAGATCTCAGTTCCTTTCTTATGAAAATGTGATATTCAAAGCTCAGATCCAACTTATGAAATTATGATGAAACTTCAAATAAATTGAGAAAAGTTTGGAGGTTTGATTTTTTTAAATATCTAGGTGTTCATGGAGTACAGTCATGTGGAGGATCTGGTTAGTCTCCTCTACAGGGTTAGTCAGGAGCTAAAAACATACTGTACTATAAAGGTTAGTCACCAAATTTACTTAAATTTAGAAATAAGATAAACATTACTGGTGTTCATTGTTCAGTTACACTGATTGTAATTTATATCTGAAATTTCTATAATAACTTAATTTGAATTGGGGTAGGGGGGAGGGGGGTGTAAAATATTTTTTGCTAGATCAAATAGTCAAAGTTTTCGATATCTAAGAGGTTTCACGATAAGGTTGCAAAGATCGAAATAAGAGAAAATTTGAGTTTGAGGCGAGTAATCAGTTTCTTTACCAATGATATATTGGAAGAAGTTTAATCAGATTTTGTCTGTAAAATATTGATAGAAATAACGAGATCCTTAGCTTGATACGTTACAGTGCAGGGGGAACAATAAATGTGAACTCATGATCAGATATATTACTATGTTGCAGGGAGAGAAACAAATAAATGAAACCTTGCTGCGAGGTGTTTACAAAAAAGTGTTTTTCAACCCTGGTCTTGCGGATCGAAACCGAGGTAAGAGAAATCAATTAAATTAGTTACAATTATGAATTAGGACGAACTGGCGCAAAAAGCGTTAAAAGTCGTCCTTCAACCGAATATAACGTTAATATAGATTAACGATGAACTAACGAATTTATTTCGTTAAAGGGAGTGTTTGCGAAAAATGAAAGGCTTACGGAGAAAAATAAGCGATTTGATCGCTACTAATCTTACTTCTATCTAGTGCGTCTATAAGGAGAAAATTGTTAAAAACGACTCACACCGAAGAACGTTGCGTCTATACAAATTCAGAAAGTTGCAACATTCTACTCGGATCGTAAAATAATCAATTTAATTCCAAACAAATCATTCAGATATTACAACCAATAATCATCGATTATTTTTCGACGCATTCTTCTACGTTCTTCAGTATGAGTCGTTTTTAACAATTTTCTCCTGGCAGACGCAACAGATAGAAGTAAGATTAGTAGTATTTTTCGCCGTAAGCCTATACTCCCTTCATTTTTCGCGAACACTCCCTTTAACAATAATATTTCCCTGAAGAAACCTATTTTTTATTCTAAAGCTTAAGAAACAAACAAAAATAACTGTGTCAGTTTCTATACGTGCTTTACCCGTCTACTAAAATTGATGCCAAAATAAAAATAAATCTTTTTCAACACAAATTCGGCAGTGAAACAGTTCTGATTTGGGTTTTGAGAGTAAAAAAGTATTTTTGCAGTTTTTGGTTGATATTTTGCACATTGCATCCGGATCCTTGGATCCACATATTTTTGCAGATCCGGATCCAGGAAGCCAAATCTTGTGGATTTAACGGATCCGGATCCTAAGCACAGCATTTATTCTAAGTTTCTGTTTAGTTCTAATGGTTGAGCGTGGTTCAGTGTCCTCAATGTCTAGTATGCATAGAGCAGGAGATGTAAACAACTCCCAGAGTATGGATCAAACCAGTTCTCAGGTTCATACAGAGATATTTGATCGAATCTGGAGTCAGCAGGTTTAACCTGGATTATGTAATCTAACCTACTCAGTTCTCAGGTTCATACAGAGATATTTGATCAGATCTGGAGTCAGCAGGTTTAACCTGGATTATGTAATCTAACCTACTAAGTACTCAGTACTCAGTACTCAATACTTATCACTTAAGTGTTAGAGTTACTTGTCATCTTTTCTGGGGTGTTGGCGTAAGCCTGACGCCCAACCGCCAACCTGTAGGGTCAGGAACTGATCTTCGCTATTAAGCGCACTGGCTCCGATAGACAGGGATCGCAGCGGGAAAGCGCCAGTTATTCGATCCTTCTCTACTCCTCTCTACGATTCTAGTATCGATGCAGACATAAAGAGAGTATTCCCGATAATGAAACGTAAATAGAGAATGAATCGCATCTGGTACTAATATATCTATATTCGATGCATTTATGAATCCACTATTTAGAAGCATCGGATCAGGAATAAACCAAATAATTCATCATTTGATAAATGAAATTTGTCTGATACCGCCACATCGCGCTTTTTTATTTGACCCTTCAAAAAATTTGAACTCCACGTGATAAAATTGAACTCCACGTGATAAATTTGAACTCCACGTGATAAATTTGAACTCCACGTGATAAATTTGAACTCTACGTGATAAATTTGAACTCCACGTGATAAATTTGAACTCCACGTGATAAATTTGAACTCCACGTAATAAATTTGAACTCCACGTGATAAAATTGGACTCCACGTGATAAATGTCCCAAAACCTTCCTACTATTTGCATTTTCCCATGCTATTTGATAAATCTTAAATGTTCTTTAGCTGAAGCCTTAATATTTTTAAGCCTTTAGAGGGCCGGGTATTTTATTTTCTCCATAAATTATCCCCCCTTTAAAAAAGAAATGTTAAAGGTCACGTGTAAAAAGTTACGGCTATGGTTCTCATCGGGGGAGATTTACAACCAACAAACGAAAGCATATCCCCCCCCCTAATAAAAAATCGCAAAGATTCAGTCTCTCCTCCTCCCTCCCTTCCCCGAGTAAATGTTTGTAAAAGCTCCCTGATTATAAAAAGCTGAACTATTATCACAACCAATTTTCATGTACAATGGCAGCCCTTATACTTATCATTTTTACATAACTTACAAAACTAAAACAGTTTCTTTCATTTCAAGTCTGATATTCAGTTTATTGCTCATTTGTTGATCTCAGTTTTGTAAACCTCTTATATTTAAAATACATTGAAGATTTTTCGCGGTTTTTTTTATTTCACATTCGGAAATATTTTTAAACAAAATGTGTAGAAAAATTAAAAATTATGCTTTTAAATAGATATCCAAAACAAAATACAACGTTTATAATTTGCTAGTTAGATAATAGTTACCTATACGCTTAAAGATGTGATCATGTGAAACTATACTCTGTTCAACTTTAATTTACAGAATGTTCGTTAAAAAGAAATTAATTAACAATGAAATCTATTTCATTTTGTAAACAATATTTGTTTTTAAAAATTCTAAACTTTTAGATTTTAAGTTTTTCAAATAGTCAGTTTAAGGGTTATCAACTTTTAAGGTACGTGATCGACATTTTTTAAAATTTATTTGTTGTACAGGTTTTAAATTTGGGTTCATAGATTTAGTACGAGGAAAGGAAGATATTCGATTAAATAGTCCAAGATTGTACCCTAAGAAAAGGTCAATTCATAAAGTAGAAAAAACTATTTGTTGACAATATTGTTATATCCCGTTTATCTAGAAAAGGGATAACATAAATAAAAATGTACATATTTTATAAAAAAAATATAGATATATTGAATAATTGTGATAAAGTTGTTGCAATACAAATATATTATATCCCTTGAGAAATATTGTAATTTATGTTGACTTTTCAGAGGCAGAGCTAGAAATATTAACGTATAATAAAAGGATTCACCCCTAATATTTTATGAGCAAAAAAATAAATAAAAGAGCAGTTGGGGAAGGAGTAAATTTGAAAAAGAATTCGAAAAAGAAATTTTCGCCTTCGGTCTTATACATGAAAAAAAAACACAGAAATTAAAATGTTTTCTGAATTTAGTTAATATACATTTATAATGAAAATAGGTTTACACCGTCAAGCTGCAAAGATAGAGGGATTATAAAATTTGATCTTGTGGCAGAAATTCATTTTAAAGAAGTAATTGGCAAAATACTGCTCGATTTTTTGCGTAAGAGTGAACACATCTTGGTTCACAGTTTGGCACTTACAATCTATTGTTTTTCTTTAACTTTTAATCTAACAATCATTTGTGAGTGTTTTATAAGTATAATATTTTTCATTCATAAAATTACATATTGCCGGCTGCATTATATACAGAATATCGATTTAAAAGTAAACCTCTTTTGTTATGACCTGAAAGGCCCCGGAATTACTGTCCTAATTGTAAACTTATAAATCATTGAATTTGAATAACCGTAAAAAATCTTTGAATTTGCTCTTTGTGCATTTCTTTTCATTCCGCTTTACACTGAATAAACATCCTGGTTTTAAATAAAATAAATCTGAAAAATTATTAAAGATTTTCGATGATGAAATGCATACATAATTTGTCATCCAAAGCTTTAGACGCAAGTTAGGGTAGACATACAATGAATGAATTAAATATTTTTTAACACGAATATTCAAGGAATCATGAATACTAAGTTCTTGCAACAAACTCTGATTTTTTAATCCCTATTTCTTTCAAAGCTTGAGTTCTTTCAGTTCAAAAAGTCTGAAATATCAAAGGATTACATTCAGGTTGAAAAGATAAAGGAATTTTAAAAATTAATAAGTTTTCATGTCAAACTACCCTTTCCTCCCCATCATCTTTCAAATAGATCCTTTTCATAAAAATAGAGTATTTATTCAGTGTCCGTCTTTAATTCGTCATTCAAATTCACTGCCCATCTGTAGAATTCACATTACGCATTAATTTTGGTATGGTATATAATTACTCCATAGATCCTTTATAAATTATACTAAAACATCTATCGAGCGTTACATGCTTTTACTCTATTTAGCTATTTACCAGACAACATATAAAATATTTAGAGAGCTTTACATGTTTTAACTCAATCTGACAATTTACCAGACAACACCAAAATATCTAAAGAGCTCTACATGATTTTAACTCTATCTAGCTATCTACCAGACAACATAAAAAATCTAAAGAGATTTACATGTTTTTAACTCAATCTGACAATTTACCAGACAACATAAAAATATCTAAAGAGCTTTACATGATTCTTAACTCTGTCTGACAATTTACCAGACAACATCAAAATATCTAAAGAGCTCTACATGTTTCTTAACTCTGTCTGACAATTTACCAGACAACATCAAAATATCTAAAAAGCTCTACATGTTTCTTAACTCTGTCTGACAATTTACCAGAAAATATAAAAATATCTAAAGAGCTTTACATGATTTTAACTCTTTCTGACAATTTATCAGACAACATAGAAATATTTAAAGAGCTTTACATGTTTCTTAACTCTTTCTAGCATTTACCAGACAACATAAAAATATCTAGAGACCAGACCACACTTAATACAACTAGACCACACTTAATACAACTGGACCACACTTAATACAACTAGACCACACTTAATACAACTAGACCACACTTAATACAACTATACCACACTTAATACAACTAGACCACACTTACTACAACTAGGCCACACTTAATACAACTATACCACACTTAATACAACTAGACCACACTTAATACAATTAGTCCACACTAATACAACTAGACCACACTTAATACAATTAGTCCACACTAATACAACTAGACCAAACTTAATACAACTAGACCACACTTAATACAATTAGTCCACACTAATACAACTAGACCACACTTAATACAATTAGTCCACACTAATACAACTAGACTAAACTTAATACAACTAAACCACACTTAATACAACTAGACCACACTTAATACAACTAGACCACACTTAATACAACTATACCATAATTAATACAAATAGACCACACTTAATACAACTAGACCAAACTTAATACAACTAGACCAATATTCAAGATTTCTGGGATCGCTGCAAGCCTGCATAGTTCATAGTACGAATATAAGACAGTACATGTTATGGAATTTTTCTTTGTTTCTAGTCGTAGAACTGGCCTGTTGTGTATAAAGGTCGTGATTTTGTAAAGAAGAATACGAAATTTTAAAAATCCAAGGATTACTGAACACAAAGCTAAGACTTATAATCAATGCAAGCACGGACCGTTACAAAATTTTCAGGGACAGGAGATAATATCCAACCTTTCAAACAACAATTTCTTTGATCATATTTAATATTTTCCGAAGAAAATTTTTATGTTTATTTTTATTTTGGTTGAAAAAGAGTATGAATACCCCTGTCTATCAGGGGTTGAGGGTCCATAGGTTGATGGGTAGAAATATAGAGAGACTAAGGAGTGGTACTTTATGTATCATGTATTATAGAATTTAATATCACAATGCAAAACAAAAGAATCTGCCAACACTTGCAGAATATTAGAATCTACCAACACTAAGCAGAATTATAGTATCTACCAACACTAAGAGAATGGTAGAATCTATACATTACGCAGAATTTTAGAATCTACCAAAACTAAGCAGAATTATAGAATCTACAAACACTAAGAGAATTGTATAACCTACCAACACTAAGCAGAATTGTAGAATCTACCAACATTAAGCAGAATTGTAAAATCTACCAACACTAAGCAGAATTGTAGAATCTACCAACACTAAGCAGAAATGTAGAATCTACCAACATTAAGCAGAATTGTAGAATCTACTAACACTAAACAGAATTGTAGAATCAACTAACACTAAGCAGAATTATAGAATCTACAAACACTAAACAGAATTGTAGAATCTACCAACTCTAAATCATTAAACAGAATTATAGAATCTACAAACAGTAAACAGAATTATAGAATCTACTAACAGTAAACAGAATTGTAGAATCTACCAGCACTAAACAGAATTTTAGAATCTACCAAAACTAAGCAGACTTATAGAATCTACTAACACTAAACAGAATGGTAGAATATACCAATACTAAGCAGTATTGTAGAATCTACTAACACTAAGCAGAATTATAGAATCTACCAACATTAAACAGAATTACAGAATCTACTAACATTAAATAGAATTGTAAAATCTACCAATACTAAGCAGAATTGTAGAATCTACTAACACTAAACAAAATTGTAGAATCTACGAACACTAAGTAGAATTATAAAATCTACCAACATTAAGTAGAATTATAGAATCTACTAACACTAAGCAGAATTGCAGAATCTACCAACACTAAGAGACTTGTAGAATCTACTAAAACCAAGCAGAATTATAGAATCTACCAACACTTAACAAAATTGTAGAATCTACTAACGCTAAAGAGAATTGTAGAATCTACCAACACTAAACAGAATTGTAGAATCTACCAACACTAAACAGAATTGTAGAATCTACTAACACTAGGCAGAATTGTAGAATCTACTAACACCAAGAGAATTGTAGAATCTACCAACTCTAAGCAGAATTATAGTATCTACTAACATTTAGCGGAATTGTAGAATCTACCAACATTTAGCAGAATTGTAGAATCTACCAACATTTAACAGAATTAAGGAATCTACTAACACTATGCAGAATTGTAGAATCTACCGACACTAAGCGGGATTGTAGACTCTACCAACATTAAGCAGAATTATAGAATCTACTAACACTAAACAGAATTGTAGAATTACATTTCATGAATCCCAAAATAATAATCATCTAACAAAAAATGGTTGGAATTAAAAACCATGATTTTTTCTATTTGTTTATTCAAAAACTATCCAATCAATTCATCGAAATCTTTCTTTCATCTTTTATCCGACATTTAAAATTGCAAATTGTATTTTAAAAATTCCTGAATTCCCAAAACAATGTAATCAATCAACTATTATGATTTGCATAACACATTATTTCGAGGAAGATCAATAGAGAGATAATCTAGAAGAGAGTAGGATTGGTAAGAGGAATTATCTAGAAAAAAGAAGGATTGGTAAGAGGGATAATCTAGAAAAGAAAAGGATTGTAAAGAGGATAATCTAGAAAAGAGAAGGATTACTAAGAGGGATAATCTAGAAAAGAGAAGGATTGGTAAGAGGGATAGTCTAGAAAAGAAAAGGATTGGTAAGAGGGATAATCTCGAATAGAGAAGGATTGTTAAGGGGGATAATATAGAAAAGAGCAGGATCGGTAAGAGGGTTAATCTAGAAAAGAGAAGGAATGGTAAGGGGGATAATCTAGAAAAAAGAAATATTGTTGAGGGATAATCTAGAAAAGAGAAGGATTGGTAAGAGAGACAATCTATAAAAGAAAAGGATTGGTAAGAGGGATAATCTAGAAAAGAGCAGGATCGGTAAGAGGGTTAATCTAGAAAAGAGAAGGATTGGTAAGAGGGATAATCTAGAAAAAAGAACTATTGTTTAGAGGGTTAATCTAGAAAAGATAAGGATTGGTAGCAGGGTTAGTCTAGAAAAAGAAGGAATGATAATATGGCTCCTAACCTACTCTTTTTTACTTTAAAAGTAGAAGAGAGTAGGATAGTAGTTTTTGGAACAAAAGGATCTTTTAAGGTCGCGCAATTAAGGTTTGTACGCGCAAATACATCATAGTTTTCCCAGTTCTTCTATTAAACCAAAACTAGAAACAAACATTAAACAGTTTTGGAATCTTTATAATCTAGACTATAACAGATTTTAAAGTGAGGAATGATTCAGTCCAAGGTTTGATGACTTAAAGATCTTCCAAGTCGGCTCGGTCTTACTAGAAAGTGAGAAGCTTTCATGATCATAGGTTGGGGTTTAGGACAAGAGTGAAGTTTTAAAGAAGATATTTGTTTTCTTGCTTTCAAGACAGATTTTTGGTAAAGAAAGAATGTTGGATTTTGGACAAGAAAAGACTTGTTTCAAGAGAAGAGAGAAGGTTATATTTAGAGTTAGAGATGAGAGAAGGTAGGATTCGGGAAATATGATAAGACTAAGAGTGAAGGTAGGATTCGGGAAATACAATAAGAGAGAAGGTAAGATTCGGGAAATGCGATAAGAGAGAAGGCAGGATTCGGGAAATATGATAAGAGAGAAGGTAGGATCCGGGTTATATGATAAGAGAGAAGCTAAGATTCGGGAAATACGATAAGAGAGAAGGTAGGATTCGGGAAATATGAGAAGAAATAAGGTTGAATTCAGAGTAAGAGATGAGAGAAGGAAATTTTCGGGAATTACGAGAAGAGAGAAGATTGAATTCAAAGGAAGAGAAGAGAGAAGGTTGGATTCGGGAGATTTAAGAGATCTTCGGAATCGCAAACAGAGAGAAAGTTAGATTCCGGAGTTAATAAGGGTTGGATTCAGAATTAGAAAAGATTAGATTCTGAGGAGGTTGGATTCAGGAGGTAAGAGAAGGTTAGAGAGAGAGAGAATGTTGGTTTGTGGAGATAAGAGAAGGATATAGAGAAGAGAGAATGTTGGTTTGTGGAGATAAAAGAAGGTTAGAGAGAAGAGAGAATGTTGGTTTAGATAAGAGAAGGATATAGAGAAGAGAGAATGTTGGTTTGTGGAGATAAAAGAAGGTTAGAGAGAAGAGAGAATGTTGGTTTGTGGAGATAAAAGAAGGTTAGAGAGAAGAGAGAATGTTGGTTTTTGGAGATAAGAGAAGATTAGCGTGAAGAGAGAATGTTGGTTAGTGAAGATAAGAGAAGGTTAGAGAGAAGAGAGAATTTTGGTTTTTGGAGATAAGAGAAGGTTAGCGTGAAGAGAGAATGTTGGTTAGTGAAGATAAGAGAAGGTTGGATTCTGGAGTAGAGAGAAGGTTTGGTTCAGGTTCGGCAGAAGGTTTGAAGTGATCAGAGATACAAAGATAATATATTTGATATCTAAATAAGAAATTAGTTGGCTACATTTCAAGTATGGAAAAAACAATACAATATTTCACCTTCTGCAATAAATAATTTTCATACTTCTAACACTAAAAACAATGTTTGTTTTAATACAAATTAAGTGTTTGCAAGGTTTATGAAGGGATAAAGCATGAAAACTGGAAACATGATCCGTCCAAGTTTTATAAGGTCGAAGATTATGGAGCGGTTCCGTTGTGTTGGATGAGTGTTGATAAATGGTTTGCGTTGAACTTGAACTCTTCAGTTAGGATCCGACCCTGGACCTGGAAACATCTCCTGTAGGCAGAGTCAACCCAGCAGTACAGGTTCAAATCCAATCTTAGATTATTTTGTCATATTTTGAAATTCGTAATAAAAATAAACTACCATTGGATTTAATTCCTGAAAGATGAAAAGATTTCGTATTCTGCATCAGTTTTTAAGTTTTCTTAGGAATTTCAATATGCATTAAAAATATCTATTTATGTTATTTTAATGGGTATTATTTATTGCGAAAAAGTTTTTGCCGGGATTTTTATTTTTCTACACAGTTTGTTTAAGATCAAAATAAAAGTGTTTTCACACCGAACGTAATGAGTTGTTTAAATACTTTTATTTTGATCGAAAACAAACTAAAATAGTGAAATAACAGCAAAAACTTTTTCCAAAGCATGATACCCATTACAATAACATATATAGTTTTATTCAATTTTTCCTAACTTATCTAATAGCAGGTCGATAAAATCACTTAATCACCATACAACGGGAAATATTAGGTGTGATAAATTCCCTGTAAATTCAACAAATATTTTAACTTTCCGTCATAAAGTTTTATCTAACCTTTTAATTTTATGTCTATTACGGTTGTTTACCGATGCTTTGCAACTATGTTAGTCTGCTTGTATATGAAATGGAAAATGTATTTTATTTCTTATACCTGGATATTGTTTAGTCTCGTTAATCTAATATTTACTGTAAAGAATGAGAATATATTCTAATCTCTCTAATCTCATGTATCCGTATAGTTTGAGAATATATTCTAATCTCTCTAATCTCATGTATCTGTATAGGATGAGAATGCTTATATCTGGATATTTTCTATTCTCACTCATCTCTATTTCCTTTTCCCAAACCTTCGTCCTACCGGATGGCAAAGCCTGTGAGAATAGTAAGTTAATCTTGATAAATTGAAAGATAGAAGAATGAGGGGATGTGGGGGGGGGGGGGAAAACTTTTCGAGAAGGGGGATTCTTTGAAATTGCGAAAACTTTAGATGGGTTTCTTAAGTTTTGTAAATAAAGGAACTGAACAATCGCAACGAACTCGACGATTTTCCAACCCCTTTAACTTTGCAACCTGATGGTGTAAACCTAAGAATACTTGACAGAATTCGGAGTTAGAAACATCAAACGATGTCAGGTTAAAAGAAACTGTTATGAGAAAGATAAGTTTAGTAACGATGGGTTCGGTTTCTTATGATGATCCTCAGAACAGAACCCCCCCCCCCCCTTTGCTATGCATCTTCTATGGACACATTATGATTATATTATTTTTTATTTCGTTGATTTCTTTCACTTCTATTTACGACTAAATGCGTTAATGATTCTATAATCCTTAAGAGTGTCATTACTGAAAATCAATGTAGAGACAAACACTCGACAAAACAAAAATAAAACTTTCTTCGAAGTTCTACCAAGAAATTAAGATATCTCGTTGAAAATATTAAGAAAAGGGAACGTTTGCGATTAAAAATTTTTTTTTTAAATGTTCAAAATATGAGTTGGTTGGCGCGTTTTTCAGTTTTTTCCCCAGTTCTTTGTCGACTGTTAAGGAACACTGGTGCAACGGATTAAAGAATTTAAGAAACCTTCTGGATTATAAGGTCGGACCGAGACAATTTTTTTGTGCAAAAGAACAAACATATTAATCAATTCATTTTCTAATTAAGCCTCGTCTTTGTTTATAAATTGGTGAACAATACCTAGCTTTATTCAGAAACAATTAAGTCCTCATTTTAAGTTTCACGAACACTCCCTTTATTTAGGAATAATCCACGCTGACCGGTTTGGTAAAGCGTATCATTTCTCATGGTTGGAGGCTGGAGAACATACTAAGTGGGATTGGGAAGGTGCAAGAAACTACTGCAGGTTGCAATAATAATTAATTATAGATGAAACTATTGCAGGTTGCAATAATAGTTATTAAGAGATGAAACTACTGCAGGTTGCAATAATAATTATTAATAGATGAAACTACTGTAGGTTGCAATATTAACTAATAATAGATGAAACTACTGTAAGTTGCAATATTAACTAATAATAGATGAAACTACTGCAGGTTGCAATAATAATTATTAATAGATGAAACTACTGCAGGTTGCAATAATAATTATTAATAGATGAAACTACTGTAGGTTGCAATATTAACTAATAATAGATGAAACTACTGCAGGTTGCAATAATAATTATTAATAGATAAAACTACTGTAGGTTGCAATAATAACTGATAATAGAAGAAACTACTGCAGGTTGTAATAATAATTAATAATATATGAAACTACTGTAGGTTGCATTAATAACTAATAATAGAAGAAACTACTGCAGTAGGTTGCAATAATAATTAATAATAGATTAAACAACTGCAGGTTGCAATAATAATTATTAATAGATGAAACTACTGCAGGTTGCAATAATAATTAATAATAGATGAAACAATACTGCAGGTTGCAATAATTATTAATAATAGATGAAACTTCTGCAGGTTGTAATACTAAATATTAATAGATGAAACTACTGCAATAATAATTAAAATAGATGAAACTACTGCAGGTTGTTATAATAATTATTAATAGATGAAACTACTGCAGGTTGCAATAATAATTAATAATAGATTAAACTTATGCAGGTTGCAATAATAATTATTAATATATGAAACTACTGCAGGTTGTAATACCAATTATTAATAGATGAAACTACTGCAGGTTGGAATAATATTTAATACTAGATGAAACTACTGCAGGTTGTAATAACAATTATTAATAGATTAAACTACTGCAGGTTGCAATAATAATTAATAATTGATAGATCTACTGCTACAGGTTGCAATAATAATTAATAATAGATGGAACTACTGCAGGTTGCAATACTAATTAATAATAGATGAAACTACTGCAGTAGACCTGAATCCGACTGTTTAGAAAGTTCTATGGATAGTATCAGTATAGACAGTAGACCTGAATCTGACTTCTTAGAAAGTTTTGTATGGATAGTATCAGTATAGACAGTAGACCTGAATCCGACTGTTTAGAGAGTTCTGTATAGATAGCATCAGTATAGACAGCAGACCTGAATCCGACTGTTTAGAAAGTTCTGTATGGATAGTATCAGTATATAGACAGTAGACCTGAATCTGGCTGTTTAGAAAGTTCTGTATGGATAGTATCAGTATAGACAGCAGACCTGAATCTGACTGGGTCAACACACTTTTACAGAGAGAAGATATTCCTTACATCTGGACAGGTAGCAAATCAATCAATCAATATCTTTTAACAAATTTTCTTTTATAAAATCTAAACCCTGAAGGGTTCTAATTTTTTCCCATTAATCCATATCCATTTAAAATAATTGGTTTACAATAGTTGGAAAGCTTGTGAGAAACTACTTCAGCTAAACCTAAAATATCAAATATGAATAGAATTATGTACATAAAATGAAAGCAATCATAACAAGGGAAAATATAGTTTTAAAATCATCATTTAGATTCAGGGTGTCCCACAATACATGACAGTTGGTAAAAAATTTTGAATGTCGTCTTCCATACACTGAATAGATATTAAAGACTGTTGGCTGTTTATTTCGTTTAAAAAATCTTTTGCTCAAATATATTTTACTTTGAAGTTGATTTTACTATAGTATGACTCCTATAAAATAATTTTATTATTGTCTTTGGTATTAAACAACTTAACAAATTATGGAAAAAGACATTTTAAACTATTCACCAACTGTCATGTTTCGTGGGACACCTTGTATACCAGCTGCATTTTATTTTTGACAAGTTTATTCCAAGGGGGAAAATGTTAAATTAACACTTATAAACACAAGTAATAAATGTTCTAGTTGTTAAGACGGTAGGAAATTTTTATATTAAATTCGTGATGAAATGTGTAGTTTAAAAATTCTCCTATTTAAAAGAAGTTGAAATTATAGTAAATGTGTATCTAGGAGGTAGAAAGTGCAATTTCGCTGGATGTGACCGCCCTGATCTACAGCCGGCTATAGAAAACGGATGGTACTGGGCCTCAACAGGTGAATTAGTACAGGGAGTTCCTTCAAATACAGGGTTGAACTCAGGAGCGTATTCAGGGGGGCTACCCCTGGATCAGTAAAATCTATGGTTTCCAGAGGCTTTTGGGACCCCGAATTGACGATTAGCCCCCCCCCCAAAAAAAGAAAAATTGTAAGCATCACCGGATTACGCCCCTGGTTGAACGATTAGGAGCATGATGGTTATTGTTCCTATAATGATCTAGGAACATGATGATTATTGTTCCCTAAATAATTTAGGACATGATAATTATTTGTTCCTTTAAGAATTTAGGAACGTAATACTTATTGTTCCTAAAATAATTTAGGAACATGATGTTGATTGTTCCTAATATAATTTAATAACATAACTCGTATTGTTCCTAAATGAATTTAAGCATATACTGATTTTTCTTGTATATGATATATTTAAAGATTCTAATTAAGATTAAAACTCAAATAAAGTAACATTCATATAAAGATATATTTTTCACTTTCAAAGCAGTCCCTTAATATGCCTTTGTTTAGAATTCACCCATAACCATGTAAGTCTAGATGGGTTGGGCCCGAACCTAGTTTATCCATCAATCTACGCAGTTTAAGCTTCGCGTAATGCGTGGAATAAACACGCGTCAAAATTATCCCTCATTTGGTTTGTTTGTCGGTATAATTTAATGCGTTTATTCACAGACAAATTACACGTATTTGTGATTTCGATTTGTTTGCAATAAATTAGGATTAATCACATGGGGTGTTCCAAAAACATATTGCAATAAACAATATTTTTAAAGCGAACCTTAGATTAAATTGCAAAATTGGCGAATATTTTGTACGTTTAACCCACAGGATATTTTAAAAAAATTGTTGTATGCAATTTTTTTGGGACATAATGTAATATCTGTATAAAATACGATTGGCAAAATGTAAATATTACAATATAATTTATAATATAATTATTAGCTGCCAATACATATCAGGGTTTTTGTTGCAAGACAATTAGAGGAGACATATTGATGGATTGAAATTTGACAGAAGCTAAAGGTAGTCCAAAAAATATTATGAATTTACATTCTTTTTTAAATTGCAGACATCGAATTTTAAGATTAATTTGAGGATTATTTACATGGATTGAGGCTCAAGACATATACACAAATTTTATGAAGGGGGGGGGGGGGCTTAGCAACCATCGGGACCCAAAAACCCTCTGAAAACCATAAGTTTTACTGATCCCATAGCCCCCCCCCCTGAATAAACCTCTATTCATCAATCATTTCCCGTCTGATTATTCTTAAATTACTTAATCTGTAAACACCGTATCCAAAGCTAATTAGGTAAACATCATTATTAGTTGATGCTTTTTTAATACTATATATACGACACATGCATGACTTGGTCTTTGCTTATTTAAAACAAAATTTTATATTATTGTCCTAAAATATGATAAACTAAGAACATTTTTAAAAAAGATGTCTTATATAATACCCAAAGTCACATTCCTGTGATTCGAAAAGTACTTCAAAAATATTTGCAACCTTTTCTTTAAATGATTTTTAATTTTAAATTCAGCCTGAAATTTCACCCCCAAAATACGAGGTAAAAATTAAATGAGATTTTTTGCTTCTTTATCTATATAATAAAACAAGAAATTCGTCTATATATTTTGTTCCCTGTAGCCGACCAAACGGTTGGACCGAATGGGCTAACATTTTTTGAATAAACTCAAGGGTAGCCCAGGAGTGACATAGGCTAAATATTTTTCTCTCAAAAATCGATTTTTTTTAATTCCCTGGGCAACACCGGGCATTTAAGCTAGTTTAAAAGAAAATTGTGAAAAAATCTTTAACTCAGAATTTTGCTTGCTAAAATTTGTACAGAAAAAGATTTTATATAAAAAGTGCTCATTAAGAAACCATGGACCTTTCTAAATCTCCTCTAAACCCTATCACAAGGTCTTCCATGTAGAACTAGGAATTTTGTGAGGACAAAGAGTTTGTAATTCTTATGAACAAGAATTGTAATAGCCAAAGTTACGCTTGCAAGAGATATTTTGTGAAAACGGTAAAACAGGGCTGAAGTTTAGTGCAAAGATTGTCAATTCTAGCCCAAGAATGAAAAAAATGCGGGTCCAACAGGAAAAGAAGTTATGATATAGATTCAATCCATCTCGACTTTTTTGGAAACCATTAAACCATTAAATCTAACCTAAATTGTTGTGTTTAGGTTCCCGTATTCCTAGTCCTAAAAAGTGCAGGTACTGTGATTGGTCTCACACTGGAGGACTTAAAACCAACCAACCTGATAACAGGTTAGTTTGGTTTGGAAAATTTTATATACAGTGTTACCCAGTCAAAGGCAGTAACTTTAAAGACGACAGTAAACAATCTTTATTTTTGTGTGGAATCATTTTAACTCCTTAAATGACAAAAATTAGCATTAACTCGTTACATTGAGTTTTGAGTCGTCATTCAAGGCGCATCCTTTGTGTGTCAATTTCTTAAGAATAACCCAATTTCTTTATCGTGATACCACAGGTCATATTTATCCATCTACACTCCTCTGAGAGAGCGTAACTGTGGTTGTACCTTATACAGCGGTAGTCGATGATATCAATACAATAAAGACCACATTCGATTTAAATTTTGATTTTTATCACGCTGTTAAATAGCATGGATATTGGATACACATAAACAAAGAAGCTGTAAATTAAAAAGCTTCTCTTTGATTACTTGTAAATTTGTAATTCGAAAAAAGCTTGTGAACAATCAAAACTTATATTTATTTAATGCAAGATGCATGAAAATACACTTGAATTTCAATGTTGAAAATGTTTGAATTATATTCAGAGAGATGAAGCAGGGTGGTAAAGACGAAGCTTGTATCGGGATCCTCAACAACTTCTATGAGGACGGAGTCAAGTGGCACGACGTGGAGTGCAGGCACAAGAAGCCGGTCATCTGCCAGGACAGCGACGAGCTCCTGGACTTCATCTTCGGGCCAGAGAAATAGATCAAATCTTTATTTGCTTGAAAAACAAGAAATTTGCGAATTTTGCATTTTTCATAATTTGCTTGCTGCATATATTCTTATACTGCCGAAAAGTTTACAACTTATTTAAAATTATTTTATATCTTAAATATATATTTAAATTTAGCCTAATTAACGTTTTGTTTATTTGTGCTTAGAAGAGATTACATAACATATTGTACGTTAAAACATTTGTATTCACAATTATAAAATATTTCCAGGATTTTTTGCAATAATTTGTCCTGGATAAAATATTAAAATGCGAAACAATTAACTAAGTCATGCGTCTCTCCCTAAATGCATAAGGTTACCCACAAAGGATAATTGGTCAACTGTGACGTGTAATTCATAAGTACACTTACTTTTTTACAATAGTACGCCATTCATAGACCGAATGTCTCTTAAAATGGCAAAAAAAGCTATCGATTCTAAGATTTCCGAAGGTAAAAAAGGTTGAATGTCTTATTAGATAATGTGTACTTTTCTAAATTAACGGAAAATTGGATGTTTAATATAGTTTAGTCTATTTTAATATTTTAAGATAAATAAGACAATTTTGTACCAATTTTGCAGGTGCAAAGTCAGCCCTGTTTTAAGAAAATAATAATGGAAAAATGCAATTTGTTTAAGTCAGAGACGGCTACTTCCCATGTTTTTTTGAGACACCTTGTAATATGACGAAATCTCATTAATTGATAAGTAACTCTACGCAGTACGCAATTGTAACTCTACGCAATACGCATGAGATACACACTGGTTACAATAGAACGTATTTAAGAAGAAGGAAGATGACTGAAGAGAGACCAAAGGCGACGGGAATAGTGAGAATCCAGGAGAAGAGAACACCTAGGACAGAATATTGTACTTAAAGGATAAAATCCATTTATAATCCAAACATTTTTTACTATTTATCTTGCTATTATCGTTCATTTAATTGTCATTTTTTCAATTTAATTCAAATTAAAGACATTTTATAACATATTTAAACTTATTTCATGAAAATATCAAATGCAGCTTTAATCATTTCTCTCATTCGAAACATCGAACAGAGTTACTTTAAAATTTTTTCAAGTAACTTATTACCCTAAACAAAATCAGGAAGTTTTAAAAAAAGTCATAAAAGCACACGAGAGAAGAGGGGGGGGGGGTCAAACAGAGAAGAATAAAGAAAGAAAAAGGTTAATGTTAAAAGGTAAAAAAGAAAATAGATGGAAAATGTAATGAAAACGAACTAAAAAGTCTAAACAAAAGTATAACACGACTAAAATTTTTACGAACTTTTTAGAAAAAGAATATAAAATAGTTATAAACATGACGAAACCGGAACCTTGGCTAAAAAACAAAGGAAGCTACGAAGTTAAGACTGCAGAGACGACAGTACGGAATTAATTTAGAGTTCCCTGCAACTATAAATTTGTTTCTTTCTTTGCCTCATCATTATAAAGGTCCCAAAAAGAGTTTATTCATGTCAAAATATACTTACTTTAACTTATGCATATTGTATAAAGTGTTTAAGGTCGTCTTTAAAGCCTCATCCTTTGTAGGTAACCCCGTAAATTCTAATATTGGAAAGAACTTGTTTATACCTGATAAAACTTTAAAATTGACATATTTCAAGGCTTCTCTCGGAGACCCTGTCTCCACCAAACCCTGAGCTAACCCTGCTCCTAAACCAATGATGCATGTAAATAAAATATTTAACTTTTTGCAAGATATTATTCAAAATCATACAGTGGTAGGCGTTTATATCAATACAATGAAGACGACTTTTTTCTTTAAGTTTTGATTAAAACAAAATTGAAATAGAAAGTCGTCTGCATTGTATTTATATATACGACGACGTCGACAGTACGTTTTTATTTTTTGAGCTAAAGGTCAATACTTGTTTCGAATTGTAATCCGATCGTTAAACTTTTGGACAGATTATGCTGCCGTTAAACAATGACTGAACGTCTAATTCATCTACTGCGTTGAAACTGAACTTTTCGTGATTTTTCAAAAAACCTTCGTTCGTTAACGATACTTTAAAAAGTCCTTCCTAGTTAAAGAATTTTAAGCTCAATGAGTTTCAAAAAATGCTTCTTCTACTCTGAGTTCATGGTTGGGCATACAAAATTTACGAATATGTCTTCTGAAACGAGAATCTGTAATTGGTATGTTTTTAAATTATCGGGTGTTCTGTCTACTTATTAAAGGACTCTAATCGCAATTTCAAGTGACCATCCATGCACATTGGCACAGATAGAAATGCCCGAATCAAAGTTAATGCGCAAGCTACTTCTGTAGTGAAACCACACTTGAAAATAAATTGTTCTCAGAAGTATAAACATTGATATATAATGCATGCACTTGATCAGACAAAGCTTTTATGGGTAGCGTTGTAAATCGGACATTGCGAACTTTGCATGGAGGATCACTTATTTTTAAGATATTACTTGGCATTCAGCGTGAAAAGTTTTAAAACTTAAACATCGGTAATGTTGATCCGCTCTACTGCCCGTCGTCCTATTGCCCATCCGCTATACTGAACATCCGACCTACGACAGCTGTTTATTTTTGTATCATTTAAGGGTTAGGTTAGGTTAGAAGAATTTCTGGGCCGAGCGCTGTGGCTAGGACGGGATAGGGGGCCGAGCGCTGCGGCTAGGACAGGCAGGGGGTCAGAAGTCCATCTAGCAGCTGTAAAACCACGTGTTAGTAGGTCGGATGGGCAGTAGGACGGATGCCCATGTAGGTCCAGAAATACACCATCCTTAAACATCAAAGAAAGTAAATAGTTAAACTCTTACCTATTAATCCTCCCACTTTACACTGAGTAGTGGAGATCATTAAACCTAAAAAAATCTTCAAGTCATGAAAAATAAAATTTTAAAGTTTAAAGGTTGTCAGTACATATTAAAACGGCTAGAAAATATCTTTGATTTCCGAAACAAAGTGACAAAATATCTACGTTAATTTAACCCAAGTTTCAACGTTAAATATGTAGATATTTGTGTTTGAAAAAGCTGCTTTTTAAAGGGAGTGTTCGCAAAAAATGAAAGGGTGTATAGGCTTAATGCCATAAAAAAGCGCTTTTGAACGCTACTAATCTTACTTCTATCTGTTGCGTCTTTAAGGAGAAAATTGATAAAGACGTCTCATACCGAAGAGCGTAGCGCCCATACAAATTGAGGAAGTTGGAACATACGACTTAGACCGTAAAAAAATCAAATTAATATCAAACAAATCATTCAGATATTACAATCTATAGTCATCGATTATCTTTCGCCACATTTGTATATATTTGATATTTCATACTAGTTTTGATTATGATTTTTAAAATAATATTTAGCTTACAGCTTGTTTTCGAACATTCCTGGAAAATATGAAAATGTCGTCTCTATTATTAAAAATCCTCGAAACAGGAATAAACATATTATGAAAAATCAACTATATATGAATGTGGCGAAAGATAATCGATGACTCTAAGTTGTAATATCTGAATGAATTGTTTGAAATTAAATTGATTTTTTTACAGTCTAAGTCGTATGTTGCAATTTTCTCAATTAGTATGGACGCCATGTTATTCGGTATGAGACGTTTTTAACAATTTTCTCCTTATAGACGCAACAGATAGAAGTAAGATTAAAAGCGATAAAAAGCGCCTATTTATCGCAGTAAGCCTATACCCCCTTTCATTTTTCGCGAACACTCCCTTTAAACAAGGTTTTATAAAAAATTTAAATTTTTAAAAATATAAAAACAAAAATTAGAGATTATTGAACAAGTTTTTTCCATATCACTTATTTATAAAAGAACAAGAATTTCATTTCTATTTCTAAGATTTCTGATATTTTGAAGATTTTTAAAAAATTCCTTTTTGTGAATAAAATAGGCGAAAAATGAAATGTTTGTTAAGATATTTCAGAATGGATTTCTAGAGTTTGGAAAATTTGATTTCTTCACATTTTCTATGTAATCCTAAATCCTGTAATCTAATACATTTTTTAATTAAAATGCTTTACCATTTTTGTGATGGTTTTAAAAAATTAACTATTTAAGAAGTTAAACCACTTTTCAACAGCTTAACGTAAGGAAGAATTGGATGTTACGACTTTACGACTTCGCAGTCGCAACTCTTCTTGTTCTAAGTTTAATTCCAAGATTGAAAAATGCAAAAGAACTTTTTCTTTCTTAACAGTTTTTTAGAAAATGTAGTTGTCAGTTGTGATTGTAAGTATCAAAGATTATATATGAAAAGGATATAATTTTGACTCTATAGTCTATATACACTCTAGTTTTTGTACCTGTAGCTGTAAAGATTAATCCCACTAATGAAGCAACCCACTCTACACAATACCCTCGAGAGGGAGTCATAGAACTGATTCCAGATCCCATAGTTCTGTAACCAGAACAAAAATTATATCATTTCCAAGTACACTAACACTCTTTCAGGGGGAATCACAAGTTCATAGTTTTGAAAAAATTCTCGAAATTCACAATAAAACCGCATTCTTCTCAGTGATATCAGATAAACTGGTTCTCAGAAACCAGAGCAAAAAGATAGACTTGGTTAATGTTTATGATCCAAAGTGTCAAAATTATAGTTGAAAGTGTAAAAAGTAACTATTACAGATTAACATTGCTGGAAACTCTAGTGTTGTGTTTATCAAAATCAATGCTTAAACTCCTATTTTCGTTCATCTGCAGATTAATTTAATCTTTATTTAATAAATAGGAACGTGTCTAAAATTCAACCAATCAGAGTGTCGTTTGCAGAGACCGAAAAGCCAATCAGAAACCGGAAAATTTTACGCATAATCCATGAGAGAATTCTCATTGGTCTGAACCCAGCTGAAATATCCAAAAGTAAGTAAGTAATCATTTATTTATGAAAAATAACAAAAACATACAAAATGAAGTGTCTAAGGAGAAAATATTTGAAAACCTCCAAAAATAGAGTTTGTGGGAATATTTCCCCCCAATTCTAAAAAAAATGGAAATAACAGGAACAGGAAAGGAAAGGAAAAGGAAAGACATTTACATAAGACAGGTTTAAGCAGAAAAAGTCTCAACAATGGGCATTGAACAGGATTAATATCTAACACAACAGTTTCCAGCTCTTATTGAGTAAAACTATCATGAATAACTACTCACATTATAACTTTCTTCCCATAGAAGATTAGACCCAGAGATATTCCAATCCCCCCCCACAGGGAGATCAAGAAGGGAGAACTGTATGAAATCTCATCAATAACTCCTTCCTAAATTCAACACAAGTTAATAAGGCAAAATTAATTTGAATCTGTTTAAATGAATAAAAAATATTTGCTTGGTCGTAAATTTGAATGCTTAAAGGGAGTGTTCGCGAAAAATGACTAGGGGTTGAGGCTGATATTGATATGAATTCGATATTGATTGCTACTAATTTTACTTCTATCTGTGAACATGAATAAAAACGTCTTACACCCAAGAGCGTAGCGTCGATGCAAATTCAAGGAGTTGATTATTCCACTCCGATCATAAATAATTCAATTAAATTCTTAACTACTCATTCAGATATTACAACCTGTCAACAACGAGTGTCGAATTCAATTCAATGCATATTTATATTGTAGATATTTCATAAAATTTTATTTCTATGTGATCAAAATATTATTTTTGAAAATATTTATTCCTGATTCGAGAATTTTTATAATGAAGACGACGTTTTTATATTTTCCAGGAATGATTGAAAATCTAGCGCCACTCGTGAAAACAAGTTTAAAGCAAAACAATAATTTCAAAAACAAATAAAATTTAAAAAATATGTGGAAATATCAATGTATACAAATTCTTCTAATTAATTTAGACAATTGTAGGTTGTAAACTTGAAATATCTGAATGGGTCTATTTTAATCTAATTGAATTATTTACGATCAGAGTGGAATAATGGCACTCCATGAATTTTCAGGATTTGAGTGGGTTCCACGCTCTTCGGTAGGAGTCGGTATAAATTTCTTATCGACTGATTTCTTTACTATCTGCTGTCTCTATAAGGAGAATATAGTTAAAAACGACTCATACTGAAGAGAGTGGGACCCAAACTAAGTCACTTATTTAATTTACTATTTTGATGTTAATTTTTTGGATTAGTGACAAAAAGTACATGCAAAAATAACCTGGAAAACCAAATAAATGACAACAAAAGGACCAATACAGTTCGCTACATCATTCCCTCCATGGACTAGAGCACTCGTCATTGCTGAGATAACTAAAACATACAAACTAATTAACACAAACACTTTCAAACAAAGTGCAATAATCATCTACAGAAATCATACCCCCCCTTATGCACACAATACATGTAGTAAATGCTGTACTCTTAAAAGTTTGTCCCAATCTGTATCAAACCAGGTACAATTTGTCCGCTATGAATATCAAACAGAATACGATCAACATGGCTACAATCCCTTGAACTATCAACGCCACTACCACTGGACACGATCTTGTTAGCTATCGGTGACAATACGGACACTAGCAATTACGTGTTCAATGTTTTAATCAGGACACGATCCACACCGATACAACCCCGTGAATTATAAACGCCACAACACTGGGTGCGATCTCACTTGTTATGCCAACCCGACATTAGCAATCTATTGATCAATGTCTCAAATAGGACACGATCCACAGGCTACAATCCTGTGAACTATAAACGCCAATATCACTGGGCACGATTTTGTTTGCTACGTCAACCGAATAATAGCAAGCTATTGATCAATGTCTCAAACAGGACACGATCCACATGGCTACAATCCCCATGAACTATCAACGCCACTACCACAGGGCCAATCTCCTTAGCCATAGCGATCAATGCCAATACTCAAGGCACAATCTCAATTTGTATGTTTGAACAAAACCAATTACTCTACACTAATCAAAGCTGAGTTCTGATTCTAACTAGCTGAGTTCTGATTCTAACTAGCTGAGTTCTGATTCTAACTAGCTGTATTTGAAGTTTGTATGTTACAAGTTTAAGTTAAAAGATATAATTACTGCGTTGTTTTCTATATTACATGTTTAAGGCAATCATGTTACGTATTACAGCACAGTTGAAATAGGCGCATTTAAGATGTGCGTATTTAAAGATTAGCAAGGATAGATATAAGGTAGTTAAGCTATCTCCACACATGTTTATAAGTTGAATGTATGTATTGAAAGGGGTTTAAGCCACCCATGCTACGTAATTACGTATTCATTTGAAACGCGGTTCAAATGAATAATGTTTTTTACGTAGAAGTTTACAAACATAGATAATTAATAATGTACAATTTACTGCAAGTTTACAGAATATCATGTGGCCCAATATTTATTACATATACACATCCTAATACTATTAGAGTTTCACTACCCTCGTTCAAAACTCTACTCTAATCCTTGGCCTTTTCTGTTCCTCCTTTTATTTTTGACATTATTTAGCTTAATAACCTTTTACTCACCTTCAAAAAAAAATATTATGAAAATCCCCATTTTTTAAATCCGATCTTTTTTGGTTTTTACTTTGTAAAGGTCTGAATATTCTTTTTATCTCCGGAGAATCTCCTTCCTCCTTTTCCTCCTCCTCCTCCTCCTTGGTATCTCCAGCCTCGGGGCACAAGTTCCCGTTCATTTCCTCCTTCATCTTCATCTTGTCAGCTTCCAGCAACTCCGTCTTCTTCTTCGTCCAGAACCTTGTCGAAAAAGATGGAAATAATTCAATCATTCCAGAGATGTTCTCAGAAAAAAAAATTAGCCACCCCCGGAAAGAAAAAAAATTCAGCCCCCCCCCCTGGATTACGCCCCTGAATTATTCATAAAGTATGTTGAGAATAATTAAGTAAGTAAGTAAGTAAGTAAGTAAGTAAGTAAGTAAGCAAGTAAGTGAACTGAGCTTGTAGGAATTAGAATTGTTTATTTTTACACCAATTTTTAATTTAGTTTAAATGAACAAGCTATAAACGCCTGTGACTATCAAATTAACATATCTAAAAGAAGGAGATTGTTCAATATGAGCAACCCCCCTCAACAGACAATTCTCGATTAACAAACGTACCCAATAAACATTTATCTCTATAACAATGAGGAAGATATTTTCGTTCTAAAAATTGTGGGATTCTAAAAATATCCTTTATTGTCTTTGCAGAATAAATCCACAAGAAACGTTTTATAAACATACATGATCAAAAATTATCAATTTTAAGCTTTAAAAAGGAACATCTCATTCATTTTTAAGAAAAAGGTCTAAATATTACCGTTGTGAATCGGACATGTCACTTTATTAATGGAAGGGTTACTTAAAATACATCTATATTTAAAATATGTCCTCTTGGACGCAAGTAACTGATTTACCTTATATCTGCATCAAGCTTGAAGTCTCCTTTACAGTTCTTGAGATACGGCAGAGTTACAAATATTGCCAGCAATGTAACAAGAAAGGATACACCCAGTCCGATACCTTAAGCAAATAATAACTTTTTTTGAAATCCGAAAATGAATTTCAAAATCAAAATGGAGTGTTTTGGTTTTTCTCCCCCTTTTTTATGTATACATTATTTGTATATATATATTTAATTTTATTTGATTTAATTGGGTTATTTGCGTTCAAATCCAAAAACTTTAAAACAGGCGCCTGTTAAAACTATAGTTGGTGGAAGGTTGAACCAGACCAGATTAGAAATAAACGACGTTAAGATCACTTTTCTATTAAAACTTTATCAATCTTCGAAATAAAATCTTTGATTTTTTTGGTGTCATTTCTTTATATTACACGAGGAGAAGATGGCAGCAAGCTTCTGTGTTGGATATTTATAATTCCGGTCACTTGATCTCAATATCTACAATGGGCTCTTTTAATATGAGGATCAATGCTTAATCTCTTTATTTCAGTTATCCCTGAAAGGTTTGATTGGTGATTATACCATGCTGGAGTTTGAATAAAGATTAAATTATTCTGCAGATTAACAAAAAATTGAGATAAAATATTGATCTCGATATCCGCAATACAAGAGTTCCCACCTGTGGATGAAAAAGCAAAAGCTAAAATAGTTACTATAAAAGATGCAACATGTTACGGTCTATAGCTAAATATTTACCTATGACAATCCACGTGTCCTGGTCCGTGGAAGGCCAAATTTTGCTAAAAAAAACAAATTTTAAAAAAAATGGAAGGAGAGGTAGAAGAGGGGGGGCCATAAATTACAATTCATCTTTTATTTGAGCCAGTGTTATGAATAAGAGGTTTTGATTTCAGGAGTTCAGAAATTCAGAAATTTTTTTAAGATCTAAATGTTTATTTTGTAAAATTATAACATAAAACATTACTAGTTAAAAAATATGTGTATATACTAAATATACATGTTTATAATGACATTTTACATTTATATATATTTTCACTGTCTATTAAACAAAGATTAGTTCTCGAATGTGCGTGTACCAAATCACATCCTTTCGTGCTGGAATCTTTTGAGACAAAGCAGGCATAGAAATCCCCCACTTTTGCTCTTGTTCTTTTTGGGCAAAGATTACACTTGTCAGAAGTACAATATCCAAACATACTGTAGGAACTGGATGAGGGTGCTAGGTTAGATTCAGTTGTAGATTTGTTGGATCCATGAAAGATGAGGTTGGACTTTGGGGAGGGATCTGATCCATCCAACTGGGGGATTAGAGATTCCCTCGTGAAGCTCACATCACAGGATGGGAAAGTTTCTATGTAAGAAGCACTAGATAGTACTCCTCGAATTGGGGAACCTGCAATAATAGGGTCTCCTACAACGGATGGATCTTCACCAGGGGCTCCTACTGTAGAGGAACCTGCACCAGGAACTCCTACTGTAGAGGAACCATCACCAAGGGCTCCTACTGTAGAGGAACCTGCACCAGGGGCTCCTACTGTAGAGGAACCATCACCAGGGGCTCTTACTGTAGAGTAACCTGCACCAGGGGCTCCTACTGTAAAGGAACCTGCACCAGGGGCTCCTACTGTAGAGGAACCATCACCAGGGGCTCCTACTGTAGAGATAATATAGTGAGTTCGGTTCTTTATAATGCATAATATAGTGAGTTCGGTTCTTTATAAAACATAATATAGTGAGTTCGGTTCTATATAATGCATAATATAGTGAGTTAGGTTCTTTATAATGCATAATGATGTATTTACTAATCTCATCTCAAAATGATAATGATATTTAATTTAATATCATGCATTGGAAGTTAAAGGAATTGAGTCTTTGCCACAAACTCTGATTTTTTAATCCTCATATCTTTGCAACCCGATGTTGTAGACTCTAGCTATTTCAAGCTGTGAATTCTGTTAGATCAAATAATAAAAGTTTGAAATATCAAAGGTTAACATCATCAGGTTGCAAAGATATTGGGATTAGAAAATGTGAGTTTGAGGCAACGACTTAATTCCTTTCTGTTTAAAACTTCTACATCACCAATTCAATCAACCTTGGCTGAGCTCAACCTATTCTTCGCCTCAAACTTAAATTTTCTTGATCTTTGCAACCAGAGCCCACGATTTAAAAACTTCGGCTTGAGCCGTAATTGCTTAAACCCAACTTTAAGACCCGATCTTCGACCCAACTCTGACGACAGCTAGTGTCAGGTGATTGACAGCTGCAAGATCTTCGGCTCGACTTAAGGAGTTAGTCCCAATGAAAATAAAACCGACCTTGGTTCATTTTAGTGGAGAATAAGTCTTATTCTCATCAAAACCTGGAATGCGCCAATTCCTACCATGAAAATCCGCCAAATAGAATATTAAACCGGTTTTTTGACCTCAACTCTGTGGAAAATAAGCCGTAGATAAGGCCTAACTACAGCTTAGACCCGAGTCGTATTTTCCCGAATTTTTTAAATCGCGGGCTCTGATGATGTGAACGTTGACCAAGTTTATAATGCAAGGAAAGTTATTTCAGAGGTATCAAAATTAAATGCTTTTAACTAAAAAAATGCTTTTACTAAAAAAACAATGATGCATTTATCCTTGTTTACAAATTCCGGCCGGAGAGAACTGGTTTCAATATGGACGCAGAGTATTCGCAACTGCAATTAACTTTGACAAGCTGATCTATGCAGAATTGAAAGTTTTCATTATTATTCATTACATCATCAGGTTGCGAAGATGTCAGGATTATGAAATTATAGATTAGGGCCAGTAATCAGTTTCTTGATAATAGAATACTCTTGAACCGGAAAATAATATCTATTCTCCAAAAATGTGATCCATGTATTTTCAAAATTTGAAATCCTTGGACCTGAAAATGTCGAAAGCTTTATTTGACTGCAGAATTATGAAACAAACTGGAATTCCTGAAAAACAAAAATAAATTAAAATGCTAAAAAAATATTTTTTATTAAAGATGAATCAATATATTTAATTCAACCTTTTCCCATAAAATTCAATATACTGTCTTTTATTCTGGAATGGAACCAATCTATCTCAGTTTTTTTGTTCGCTTTGCGGCAGAAAACTACGATTTAAAATGTAAGATCACTCAAAATTTCGTTAACAATCCCTTTAATAAAACGCATGTAAATATACCTACTGATAAACCGGTTATAATACTATAAACAATCTTGTTTATGCCACTGAAGGGAGAACCAGTTCTGAAAAAAAATTCCGTAACTTGTGATTTCTTGATTTAGAGCAATGTGTCTAGAACTGAGGTGTGTGACTGTGAAGGAAGGTGTTGTGTACATATTCTACTGTGACGTATTTAGGACTGATAGGAACCAGTTTTATCAAAACAATAACAAAGATTGTAAACAAATGTTGGAATTTTTCTTGTGCACGGTATGAAAACCGTACATTGTTTATAATCTGTTGATTATTTACAATAAACCAGTTTTTGACCGGTCACAAGAAATATAATCAAAACCTTCCATTTTAGTTCTACACACATTGGTTTGGAGAATTGATTTATATTAAATAAACAAGATCTGTTTGAAAAGGTTTTAAACATGACAACAGTAGTGAGGTTTAGGAGAATAAAGAGAAGCAAAAAGAATTCCAATTCCATTTAGGGTGCAAGGTATTACAGTAGAGAGACGCCTGAAAGATCGTCTTGATTTGTTACATCTATCTAATGTTGTGATCTACAGTGGTAAGCGATAATATCAATACAATGAGAACGACTTTTCATTCCTGTTTTAATTGTTAACAACCTTTTTTTTGAATTACAAGTTAACAAGTAATCAAAGAGAAGCTTTTTTAATTAAAAGCTTCTTTTGACTTCTATGTTTAAGTGTATCAATGCTGTTGAAGAGCTTGATTTAAATAAAAATTGAAATCAAAAGTCGTCTTCATTGTATTGATAAAATAGCCTACCACTGTAGATTTCACATCTCACACGCCATTGGGTTTGACTTCATTTTAAATTTGTGTTTTTTAAATGAAAAAGACTAAAGAAGCAAAGATAATAAAAAATGTAAAAAATTCTTAATTTCTCCGGTCAACTTTGAAAACACCAAATAATAAGACAACATTTTTGAAATAATGTATTTTATTATTATTGTTGTATGAATCGTACTGATGAAATTATATTGATAAATAAATGCAAATATATTACAAGCAGACGAAATTTCATTCTCTTCTTATTTGTACCTGATACAGTATTTGTATAAAATATTCATGTTTATTGAGACATCCTGTACCTGATACAGTATTTGTATAAAATATTCATGTTTATTGTGACACCCTGTACCTGATACAGTTTTTGTATAAAATATTCATGTTTATTGAGACACCCTGTATCTTATACAGTATTTGTATAAAATAATTATGTTTATTGAGGCACCCTGTACCCGATACAGTATTTGTATAAAATATTCATGTTTATTGAGACACCCAGTACCTGATACAGTATTTGTATAAAATATTCATGTTTATTGAGACACCCTGTACCTGATACAGTATTTGTATAAAATATTCATGTTTATTGAGACACCCAGTACCTGATACAGTATTTGTATAAAATATTCATGTTCATTGAGACACCCTGTACCTGATACAGTATTTGTATAAAATATTCATGTTCATTGAGACACCCTGTACCTGATACGGTATTTGTATAAAATAATCATGTTTATTGAGACACCCTGTACCTGATACAGTATTTGTATAAAATATTCATGTTTATTGAGACACCCTGTATCTTATACAGTATTTGTATAAAATAATTATGTTTATTGAGGCACCCTGTTCCAATACAGTATTTGTATAAAATATTCATATTTACTGGGACACCTTGTACCTGATACAGTATTTGTATAAAATATTCTTGTTCATTGAGACACCCTGTACCTGATACAGTATTTGTATAAAATAATTGAGACACCCAGTACCTGATACAGTATTTGTATAAAATATTCATGTTCATTGAGACACCCTGTACCTGATACAGTATTTGTATAAAATATTCATGTTCATTGAGACACCCTGTACCTGATACAGTATTTGTATAAAATACTCATGTTTATTGAGACACCCTGTACCTTATACAGTATTTGTATAAAATATTAATGTTTATTGGAACAACCTGTACTTAAAACAGTATTTGTATAAAATATTCATGTTTAATGAGACACCCTGTATCTTAAACAGTATTTGTATAAAATACTCATGTTTATTGGGACACCCTCTACCTGATACAATATTTGTATAAAATAATCATATTTATTGGGACACCCTGTACCTGATACAGTATTTGTATAGAGGATAGTAGACAAGAGCAGTAGCGACCATACTGACTATAATGGACACGAAGAGCATATAAACTATCTGGATAAACGCCTGGGTGTTCTTGATACCATCAGTTCCTAGATATTAATAATAATAATGATAATTAGTTACTAGATATTAACAAAAATTATAACAATCGGTTCCTGTAAGATGTTGATAATAGAACAGTTCCTAGAAAATAGTAAAAATTATATCCCTTGTATAATTTGTGGGAGCATTGATTTAGGAGAATGGGTTTACACCCTTTGATAATGGTAGATGTAAAAGTTTACTACCGTCAATGATAATGAGTTTACCGTTTACACCCTTTATTATGTTAGGAAAAGTATATGCACTTAATGGTTCACCGACATAGGGGTCAACGACTTAGGGTCAATCGACCTAGGGTCAATCGACTTAGAGTCAAACGACAAACGGCCAAAAACACGAAAAAGGGTTAAAATGAAAAAATGAATATTTTATGTATTATTTCAAGATAAGGTTAGGTTAAGACAAATTCTGGGCCGGGCACTGCGACTAGGACAGTCTAGGGGCCCGAGTACTGCGGCCACTATATCTAATGAACATAAAAATAAGTTCAAATGAGCCAAAAAATAATTTAAATGAAATTTTGCTGTTTGTCGCACTTTTTGACCCTATGCCGTCTAACCCTTTGTCGCATTTTGACCGTTTGTCGTTCTATCCCTTGGTAGTTTTACCCTATGTCGTTTGACCCTATGGCATTTGACCCTGGTTCGTTTGACTCTATGTCGTTTGAACCTATGTCGCTTGACCTTATGTCGCTTGACCCTATGTCGTTTGACCCTATGCCATTTGGCCCTAGTTTGTTTGACCCTATGTCGTTTGAACATAGTTTGTTTGACCCTAGTTTGTTTGACCCTGTGTCGTTTGACCCTATGACGCTTGAACATAGTTTGTTTGACCCTAGTTCGTTTGACCCTAGTTTGTTTGACCCTAGTTCGTTTGACCCTATGGCATTTGGCCCTAGTTCGTTTGACCCTAGGTAGTTTGACCATGTAGTTCGTTTGACCCTATGTCGGTGAATCCAGTTAAAAGAATGTGTTTGATTAGTTAAATGCTGAGTGTTCTAAATGATTGATTATATGTTTCCACGTTTTAATTCTGGCTAAAATTTGAAATTTTACAAAATCAAAATGCTTAATTGCAATAAATATATTCCTGAAAATGTTTTGATTATTCAAAAAGATTACTAGATTACTTCATACTTTGAAACAGAATATATATATAATAAACAATCTTGTTTATGGCNCCATATTCCACTTCCTAAATAATACAATGTGTTCCTGCTACTGACCAGGAGAAGAAGGAGGCAACCATTTGCCATATTCCACTTCCTAAATAATACAATGTGTTCCTGCTACTGACCAGGAGAAGAAGGAGGCAACCATTTGCCATATTCCACTTCCTAAATAATACAATGTGTTCCTGCTACTGACCAGGAGAAGAAGGAGGCAACCATTTGCCATATTCCACTTCCTAAATAATACAATGTGTTCCTGCTACTGACCAGGAGAAGAAGGAGGCAACCATTTGCCATATTCCACTTCCTAAATAATACAATGTGTTCCTGCTACTGACCAGGAGAAGAAGGAGGCAACCATTTGCCATATTCCACTTCCTAAATAATACAATGTGTTCCTGCTACTGACCAGGAGAAGAAGGAGGCAACCATTTGCCATATTCCACTTCCTAAATAATACAATGTGTTCCTGCTACTGACCAGGAGAAGAAGGAGGCAACCATTTGCCATATTCCACTTCCTAAATAATACAATGTGTTCCTGCTACTGACCAGGAGAAGAAGGAGGCAACCATTTGCCATATTCCACTTCCTAAATAATACAATGTGTTCCTGCTACTGACCAGGAGAAGAAGGAGGCAACCATTTGCCATATTCCACTTCCTAAATAATACAATGTGTTCCTGCTACTGGCCAGGAGAAGAAGGAGGCAACCATTTGCCATATTCCGCTTCCTTAATAATGGGACTGTAGCCGTTATTTTAAGTGAACTTCCATTTTTAGAGTGACGTGTTCAATTCACAAGAGTACCCTCTAAACCTTGGACTAATGAAGGGTGACGACTTATCATTATCAGTCTACAGTAATGCTTTTCATTGATGATAACTTTGTTTGCAAGTCGTAGAATATAAATATTGTTGAAATTTTTAAACCCACATTGGATAATGAGAGTTTTGGATTCTCGAGAAATATGTAAAGTAAGCAATATGAGTTCACACTACACTGTACGTTCACTCATCTGTTAGTCCGGTAATTTTAACTCCATTTTAGAGTTAAAAACAGTGATTACTCTACTGTAGATGATTAGACCAAGGAAAGTAAGGGTACTTTAGGGTAGGGTCATTTCAAGGTAGCCCTCTAATGCCTCCTACCCCCTTCCTCCTTTCTTGGGGGGAATATTTAAAATACTTTTTTTTACCGTACATATGAACTGCAATAAAACACTAGAAAAAGATATGAGAACCATGTTGCAACGTTAAAAAAGTTTGTGATTAAAAATGATGTTTTTGAAGGACAAGGATACATGAAAATCCGATTTTCAAAATCATCCCTACAGAATGGACAATCTATGGGGATTTTAAAGATTAAATTTGCGCTCTTGTTGAACAAATATGCACCGTCTGATAGGTCTCAAATGAATCCTTAAATCTCAACAATATTGCAATCTCAGCTCAACTATCATGTCTAGCAAGACGAGCCAGACACTCCCTGTAAACAGTTTTTTGTTTGTTATTTCGTCTTACCAAGCATAACTGACATGCATCCTATGACGAGTAACTTCTCATCCTCTAGTCCCTGGGTTCCATTCTCCGGACTCCAGTTCTCTATGATGTTGTTCTTGTTGGAGGTGTACGCGTCTATATTCACGATTCCGTTCACAACCTTCTCTATAACATCTCCAGACAGCAGGGTGGCACCTCAACAAATATCAGAATTTGATCAAATGTTAAAGGAACCCTCCTTGCCAAGAGGGCTATGTTTGATTCACAACAGTACCCATAAAAGTATAATTTTTAATTTGAATTTTTTATTGTGGTTTCGCATTGCGCATTTATACTGCAGCTGCAAGAAAACATATAGTATCAGAAATGGACACTTTTTAACCTAGAACAACCAAAATATCTTCCACATTATTGATCAGATAGAGGATAACGTTGTAAATCAGGCGTTTCTGTCTCCGCATAAAGGGTTAAGTAAAAATTATTTTTTACAGTCCCTAAACTTTAGTGGTAGTTTATAGAAGTTTTTGTGTAAATACAGAAAAATGCAGTGGTATTAAAGAAAAAAAATCGCCATTAGAAAAATTTTATACGGATTTGGTTTTGTTTTGTTTCAGTATTCTTTTGAACTTAAAAATTTTTTGTATAAAAAGATTTCTGAGCCGCCTGCTCAGAAATCCGTATATTTTAGAAAAATATTAAACATTCTTTTTCAATGGTAAATTAAGATCTTATCTCATTACCTACAATCTCCATTATAGAACCAAGGAAGTAGGCCCATCCTAATGTAACTGTCCCAGATCCTAATAAACAATATACAGGGTGAACCATATCAAAACTATACAGGGGGAGCCACATTAGAACTCTACAGGATGAACTGCATTGGAACTATACTAAATGAAACACATTAGAACTCTACAGGGTGAACTACATCAGAACTATACAGAGTGAATGTTAGTGGTTTATAAATATATAATTTGTAATTACACATCTATATATATCAAGTTGTAATCTATGTTTGTCTGTTTGTTTGTCCAATCACAACTCAGTAACCCCTAGACCGATTTGCCTCAAATTTTGATTTGGGAACTCGGGAGACCCACGGGAATGGTCATATCTTTGTTTGGAGATTCTAAGTTGAGTGGGTCGACTTTAGCAGCGAAAATTCAGTTTCCCGGTAAAATTGTTCAAGTGCGGGTAAACGGCGGTAGTAACTTTTAGTAACCCGGGCAGCGTTGGGTTCCCATGCTTTTTTACAATATTTAAATATGAACTTCGTAGTTTAGGAAATGATACACATTTTATCTTAATATTACTTTACTTAAAAAAAAAACAATAAAATAATAAAACAAGAGTAATAAATCTTTAAACGAGATTAAAAAAGCAGACAAAAGCTATAAAAACTTCAATTCTTTATTAAACCGATTTCAATATTTAAGCTAAGACTGGAATATCTGTTTGAAGCAATAAATCAATAATTAAAATAATTCATGTATCAGGTAGCATTAAAAAATATCATTTCAGAATATAAATGTATAAATATATAAAACTTTTTATTACTTTTACTCTATTATAACGCATAAGATATATGATGTCAGACAAACATTACAGTACAACTTTAATTATAATGTAAAAAACATTTATAAATATTTTACAATTTATGTTTTTCAAGCAAACTACAGTAACATTGTCAAATCTTGAGAAAAAATCGCGAATTTTCGGCCAAGTTTGGTAGGTAACTTCGTAGACATTTCTCACTGAAACTTACAGTACATCTTTCATAATCAAACTTTTAGTGGTCTTTTTTTAAACTTAAAATCTATATAATAAAGCTCTTCGCTCACATATATATATATATATATGTTTGTAAAATTAGAAAATGAATATGTAGAATTCTTAGATTCTACTTATTTCAAAAAATTGTATGTTTCTACACCATATTATAATAATTACATTTGTGTGTGCACATAAATCTTAATTATAATGATTATTCCAAGAAAACAATAATGATAAAGTTCTAGACAATAATAAAGATAAGAATCAATTCGTGGAATCATGAAAATTATGAAAAATGTTTCAACGAAAGTCTTTTAAAAGGAAAGAGATTTCTTCTTAATTTTATATTTTTGTTTTTTCAAAGTATTTACTCTGTTGGATCAAATAGTAATATTTTGAAATATCAAATGTTACCATTATCCGGCTGCAGATACTTAGTGGTTTGATAAATTAAAGTTTGTGTCGAGGCACCAATTATTGTATTTTAGCCAAGGTTGTGTATAAGGTTTGATACCCTAGCTGGATATGCTCCAATGTAGATAAAGACGACCTTTATAGCAATGGACACTAAAACCTCGTATGACGTCACTGCTAATTTTAAAGAATAATAAATTTTGCGGCTCACTAAATATAAACTAAAAAATTAAAAACTTGAATTAGAATTGCATTTATTAGCTTCAAGCTTGTTAGCACAATCAATGTTTGTTAAATGCAACGAGGTTATAGTGTATAGAGTGATGATGTACGATAATCCTTTACTAATTTTATAGGCCATAAACTATCGAGAGCGTACTGTATATTTTTATTATAAGTTGATTCTGGCCAAACCTTATAGTATACCAATATTAGTAAACACTTGTAAGTGAACAGTACAGCTAATTGAGCACGCAGGTAGAGAACTATCATCCCCCCTGGTTAAATGTGATGAATGTTAGCTAATTTTCATTGACATCATTTCAGGATTTAAAAAGTCCGTTGCAAAAAAAAGACGACATTTACCTAAATGGAGCGCATAACCTTATACATAACCTTGATTTTACCTTTAGCAGTAACAGTAAAGCCGAGAAGTCCGAAAATGATACAATGTGTTCCTGCTACTGGCCAGGAGAAGAAGGACGCAACCATTTGCCATATTCCACTTCCTAAATAATACAATGTGTTCCTGCTACTGACCAGGAGAAGAAGGAGGCAACCATTTGCCATATTCCACTTCCTAAATAATACAATGTGCTCCTGGTACTGGCCAAGAGAAGAAGGAGGCAACCATTTGCCATATTCCACTTCCTAAATAATACAATGTGTTCCTGCTACTGATCTAGATAATAATATCAATAGCAACCATTCTATATCTCACTCTAGATAATAATATCAATAACAACCATTCTATAGTTTACTCTAGATAATAATATTAATAGCAACCATTCTATGTTCACTCTAGATAATAATATCAATAGCAACCATTCTATAGCTCACTCTAGATAATAATATTAATAGCAACCATTCTATAGTTCACTCTAGATAATAATATTAATAGCAACCATTCTATAGTTCACTCTAGATAATAATATCAATACCAACCATTCTATATCTCACTCTAGATAATAATATCAATAGCAACCATTCTATAGCTCACTCTAGATAATAATATTAATAGCAACCATTCTATAGTTTACTCTAGATAATAATATAAATAGCAACCATTCTATAGTTCACTCTAGATAATAATATAAATAGCAACCATTCTATAGTTTACTCTATAGATAATAATATCAATAGCAACCATTCTATAGTTTACTCTAGATAATAATATCAATAGCAACCATTCTATAATTCACTCTAGATAATAATAGCAATAGCAACCATTCTATATCTCACTCTAGATAATAATATCAATAGCAACCATTCTATATCTTACTCTAGATATTAATATCAATAGCAACCAATTTATAGCTCACTCTAGATAATAATATCAATAGCAACCATTCTATATCTCACTCTAGATAATAATATCAATACCAACCATTCTATAGCTCACTCTAGATAATAATATCAATAGCAACCATTCTATATCTCACTCTAGATAATAATATCAATAGCAACCATTCTATAGTTCACTCTAGATTATAATATCAATAGCAACCATTCTATAGCTCACTCTAGATAAAAATATCAATAGCAACCATTCTATATCTCACTCTAGATAATAATATCAATAGCAACCATTCTATAGTTTACTCTAGATAATAATATCAATAGCAACCATTCTATAGCTCACTCTAGATAACAATATCAATACCAACCGTTCTATAGTTTACTCTAGATAATAATATTAATAGCAACCATTCTATAGTTTACTCTAGATAATAATATCAATAGCAACCATTCTATAGCTCACTCTAGATAATATCAATAGCAACCATTCTATTCTATAGCTAACTCTAAATTTAAAATATCAATAGCAAACATTCTAAAGCAAGAACATAATATCAATAGCAATCAATATTCATTCTAATAACTATAAGAAAAATCCTAAAAAAAATTGTGGTTTATTGTAGCACACTGAAATTATGGCGGCTCAAAAAATCGACAGTTATTATCTCAAAATGGTTACCAGAATATAGGGGTGAATCCCGTAAAGCCTAGTACTTCAGAAACTAATATAAATAAGATAACCATTTATTCAAAATCAGCATCTGAGGAGTTATTACGCGATTCCCAAACGTATTCAAGTTAGCAAATGTATAGAATGTACGAAAAAATAATTTCTACCTGTTTACAAAGCGTGAGTATAGGTGTAGGATAACCTAATTTCTACCTGTTTACAAAATACAATAAAAAATCCCTCTTTGTTCAGATCAAAATACAGGGGGGTTTCTCGTTAACCCAGATCTCAGTTAGGAAGGGTACAGTGTCTGTCCTCTCACCATCTTTAAATTGTAAAATCTGCAAATTTATGATTTATTTAAAACTAATTTTATTATTAAGAAAGTCATGTACAAATGTACAATGTGTACTGTATAACACCAAAATTACATAAAGTTGTTGGATGTTCACAAATAACGCTTAATTGAACAGATCAACCGTTCGTCAGTGGGATCAGTGCAGAGATACGAGAGTCCGTGATATTATTTTAAAGATGGTTAGCTCGGTTCAGAAAATATGTAGACCAGGAACCGCCATATCTCATGCGTCAAATCTGTGTACTGCAGTGGGAGGAGATCAAAACAAAGAATTCCGGGGCAACGCATCTTTTTTGAGGAAAAAGGGCCCAAGGGATGGAATAAGAACATATTGCTATTGTATTTTCCATATTGACCAGAAAGCCAAAAATCATAAGTATTCGCTTTAACTTGATATATTAACTTGTTTTTTGTTGGACTGTAATATCACATCAGAGCTGTAGTCCTTTCCCTTCAACTTCTGTGGGGACACTGGGTTTGTTTACATTCCTCCCACAGTGTACAGTATATAGTTCCTTGGCTCGGTTAGCTAGCTATAGTTCGTCGAGTTCAGCTAGAACTCGAATAGCACTAATTAAAGTCAAGTCGTCTTCAATCTTATTTTTGATGTTTATTGTGAAGAAGAAAAGTATCAACAAACAATATTCATCTGTATCCTAGAATTGCCTGATTGTTCAATAAACATCTGTGTAATCTTGCATAAAACATGGTAGAAGCTAAACAGAATTAGACCTATTCAACCAAAAGGAAAAATAAAAAAGGAAACGAAAAATTTGAAAAAAAGAAAGGAAAAAATGTGAAAATCTGATTTTTGTTACCAATATTTTGCGTTTTAGGATCATTTTTTCTTCAAATTAAAGACAATTGAGTGTTTTCTGAAATAGATTAGTTTGACATTTTTATTTCTATCCTGTCTTGTGTAATGATAAGTTTATTTTTAATTTTTAGAAACTGATTTTAATGAAAGCTATCTTACAGTAATAAGTAACAATTTGGAGACAAAATTAGAAGATAAAATATGGCTGACGGTTTGTACCCATTCTCAAGCTTGCAGGGGAGATTGTCTCAAATTAGAAATTAATTTTGGGACAACTTTGAGCTTTTCTTGAACTTTTACAGGCATTTACAGCCTTTCGATACCTTTCCCAGTATTAAAATTAAATATTGGCTATTCATGATGCTAAAATTGTCAGTACTACATTTACTTATAGTTTAACTTGAATCTATACAAAATAACTATATATCTATTCTGATAAACGTTTACTGATGTATCAGCTTACAGTTATGACATCATTATATCTCCAGTTTTGTTAGTCGCGACCATATAAATAGCTTCTCAATGGCACTTAAGGAACATAAACATGACTCAAAACAGCCAAAATATCTATCTTGATGAACTACTGTGTGTGCTAAGTTGAAAATCTAGTATTTAGACTTGAGTCATTAATTTTGACCCTTTTTGAGGTTTTCAGTCAAAAAAAAATTTGCCTGCGCACCCCCCTCCTCTTGCTAAATTACTAGCTACGGGCCTGGCTTAATGAAGAATAAAGTGAATTAGATCACAATGAGAAGATAAGATCACAATGCAATGAGAAGATTAGATTACAATGAGGCGATAAGATCACAATGAGAAGAAAAGAGCACAATGAGAAGATAAGATCACAATGAGAAGATAAGATCACAATGCAATCAGAAGATGAGATCACAATGAGAAGAAAAGATCACAATGAGAAGAAAAGATCACAATGAGAAGATAAGATCACAATGAGAAGATAAGCACAATAAAAAGATGAGATCACAATGAGAAGATAAGATCACAATGAGAAGATAAGATCACAATGCAATGAGAAGATGAGATTACAATGAGGAGATAAGATCACAATGAGAAGATAAGATCACAATGAGAAGAAAAGATCACAATGAGAAGAAAAGATCACAATGAGAAGATAAGATCCCAATGAGAAGATGAAATCACAATGAGAAGATAAGCACAATAAAAAGATGAGATCACAATGAGAAGATAAGATCACAATGAGAAGATAAGATCATAATGAGAAGATAAGGTTACAATGAGAAGATAAGATCACAATGAGAAGATAAGATCACAATGAGAAGATAAGTTCACAAAGAGAAGATAAAATCATTTTGAGAAAATATCACAATAAGAAGATAAGATCACAATAAGTAGATAAGATCACAATGAGAAGATGAAATCATAAAAAGAAGATAAGATCACAATGAGAAGATAAGATCACAGTTAGTAGATAAGATCACAAAAAGAAGATAAGATCACAATGAGAAGATGAGATCGCAGAAAGAAGATAAGATCACAATAAGAAGATAAGATCACAAAGAGAAGATTAGATCACATTGAGAAGATTAGATCACAATGAGAAGATTAGATCACAATGAGAAGATAAGATCACAATGAGAAGATAAGATCACAATGAGAGGATAAGATCACAATGAGAAGATGTAATCACAATGAGAAGATAAGATCACAATAAGGAGATAAGATCCCAATGAGAAGATCAGATCACAATAAGAAGTTAAGATAACAATGAGAAGATAAGATCATAATAAAAAGATAAGATCACAATGAATGGGATCGGATCATGATAAAGAATTTCAGATCATAATGAAAAGGATATAATCATGATCAAGATGAGAATGACAAGCATATGATCATGACTATGATGTAAGATCACAAGGATAATGATAGGATCATGATGAAAGGGTAAAGCTAACAATGTAAAGAATAGGATTATGATGGGATAGGATCATGATGAGGGGATAAAGATCACAAGGTAAAGGACATGATCATGACGAATATGTTACGGTACACTGAACAGGATCATGTAAAGAGAAGAAAATCACAATAAAAGGATAGAATTACTATGAAAAGGTGAGATCAAAATTAAAAAGGATATGATCATCACTAAGATGGTAGATCATAATGAAAAAAATACGATCATGAAGATGTCGTTAGATTACAATGATAAAGATAGGTATACCAAGAAAGTGAGATGACAGGATGTGATCATAGAAAACAGTAAGGTTCAATTAAAAGAAAATATATAGTTTAGGATTGTATCTCCGTATGCGAGACTATATCGGAGTAAACTGAACAGTTCTCCTCCTAGCTCTCTTCCTTCTCCGTCCGAGTTTTGTCAATGTCAACTGTACCGGAGATAACAGATTAGTTCTCACATACTTAACCTTATATTTATCCTAATATATCCGGTCTATATCTGTACAAATCATAATCTTTTCTTTTGCAATTTATCAGTTTATTAAATGTCCATTTTAAGAATGGCAAAAAATCATCGATTAAAAAACTATTAAAAATTGACCGGGACGACTTTGAAGTGTCACTATGTCTTAGTGTGACCTTGTCAACCCATCATTATATTATTGCCTTTACATTCCTGGATTTCAAGATTTTTTTTTAATCGCTTCCTCAGAGAAAATTATCCAAAATCAGTAGTCAAAAGTTCAATGTGAAAATTAAAGTTATTTTAGTGGTTTTAAACCACGTATTATTTGCTAAAATGTGAAGATATGTGTGCAGACCAGAGGAGGACTAGGAGAGATCAAAGTTAAGAAGAAAAAAATGTCAGTTTTGTGTAGATATTTGTTTTTTACAATTTAAGAAGATTTGTGACGTGGAAACAATTAAGGCTGGTTTCTTGGTGCACCATGTATACCTTTAATATTTGTTACGAATTGTTGTGATTTACAATAAAATCAATCATTATAATTTTACGAAAACTTGTTCATTGTTCATAAATCATACAGTGTGACCAAAAAAGAAGGGAATCAAGTGACAATATAAAAGTTTCTTTAGAAAATTTGGCATTGTTTGTTACTAAATACCAACACGAGTTTCGATAAACTAAAAAAATGGGACAAGTCACAAGATTCTTAATAGATCCTATGATCTTGAAACCACATTTTGTAAATTCCATGGGAATATCGGCTTCTTGTTTCAATAATTTTGACAGTGCTATTAGATTCATTAGATGTTTACGAACTAAATGCCATGTAGTTCGATCGAATACATTTCAAAGTTGTCAATTAAATCCAGTTTTTATTAGGACACACTGTACGATAATTTAACTACAATTATGAAAATCATGTCTAAACCCTTGATAAAAAAAAAACTTCCAGAGGTAGGGAAAGTTTAAAAATTAACCTATCATTGAACTAGTACACCCAGTTTCCATGACTTTGTCACATTTTTGATGCGTATTGCATATTATGTAATAATTTCGATATTAAAATCCAATAAAGTACGTCTCTTAAGTCAACCTAATGATGATTTGAAAAAAAAACTGCAGCAAATAAAGAATAGATAAGCTGTCCCAAATTTTACAACAAATTCTAATGCTTCCTGAGATTTGTTTTCATTCTGTTCATAAATTTTACTGAATAGTGGAAAAATTACAAGTTTTAAAAAATTAAATATTTAGATATTTGATAATCATTTAATGAAATATTATCATTATTACTAGATAAATGAGATTTATAAATGCATATTTTTATCACATGCGGTTCTTATTCTTTCTAATCCGTTCTCCTTCGTTCCATCTTCTTCCCTGTTATCCAGCCCATTTTCTCCATATCTTGTTACAAAACCATCTTAGAAAACTTAAGTTAAACTTTTTTGTCAAAAAAAATATCATTTTGAAATAAAATTTCAGTTTTTTAGTTAAGAACTAAAAACTTGTATAAAAAAAATAACTCCAGGGCCCATGGAGTCACCTTTTGGTTAGTTTAATGATTAATTGTTTATCTTCAATAATATCTCTGAAAGTAAACTGACACAAAACGAGCAAACAGTTGAAGGGAATTAAAAATGCATTTGTTGCATCTAAAAGATAAAATTTAGATACATACCTTTGATGATGCTTAACTATCTAACAATGTCCAAAATATAGCTATACTCCCAAAATCCCGAATTATTTTCAAAATCCGGCGATATTGTGGAAATCAGTTTAAATTAAATAATTGTTTCAATACTGTATAGATGGGTAAATAATTGAACTACTGAGTATATACAGAGTATATAGAAATACAGAAGTTGGGGAATATACGCAGAGAGAGTTAGCAACTTTCAAATCTCGAAATAAAGGTTTCAAACCCCTTTTTTTAACTTTATTTTTTTCCCCATCTTGTTTGATTAAATACAGAAACAGGTTTACATTGCTTATCTTTAAAACTGATGCAAATTTCAATTTAACATGCGTACATAATGTAAAAAAAAATGGAACTGAGTTTTTGTTAGAAACTATGACTTACTAATTTCTATATCTTGGCAACCCGTTCTTACAAACCTTTGATATTTCAAATTATGAATTAAGATAGATAAATAGTTTGAAATATAAAAGGCTTACTCTATCAGGTTGCAAAGATTTAGAGATTTGGAAATTCAAGAACTCAGTTCCTCTATCATATAGTTCCTCAAATCAGTTTCTTTTTAAAATTTAATAACCCCTTAGAAAATCATGTTTGTTTTTGGTGTTTACTTTCCTATTTTAAGGAAAATTTGAGACGGTTTGTTCAAAATTAGTCCAATTTACTCAAATTTTAAGTGGTTCAATGTTAACTGAAAATTCTAAACCTCAAGTTACTCCATCATTAAAACAAAATTCGCAATTTCTGAACCTTTTTGAAAATATTCAATGATAGCATGGGTATCCAGAGCACTGCCTGGAACTTACCCACACTCGGTTTTTATTATCTCACAACACCTCCATTCCCCCCTTTTTTAATTCGAAGGGTAGAGATTACTCAGATGATCAGCCCTCTTCATCCTCAAAAACTAAATCCTTTCATTCACAATTTGGTATTTTTTCCAACCTGTTCGTATCCCCCCCCCCCCCAACATATGAACAAACTGTACCTTCTCACCTTAAAAAATGATGACCGAAGACTTGATAAACAATTAATTAAATAAACTTAAATGTTCAGATTTGATAAGAATTAAAAGATAGAAACATGTCAGTCTATAGTCTGTACAAATAAAAAAGTGGCATATATTCAATTCATGAAAACAGGGTAATTTTCTGTTTAACAGACAATTTTAAAAGTGTTGAAATAAACATTGAAATCAAGTGATGAATCGATTCCAATTTTCAATTAAACATTTTATTTGTCTTTTTTCCTTATTTTTGATTTATAATTTGACATAACCATAAATTCCATCATTAAATCTGAATCACATTTTGGAAAGCTCAATTAGAAGCAGGTAGTTTTAAGCGTTATATTTTTATTAACTATCAAAACTATTTTTTGTAAACATTTAATTTCCTTGTACACTGTAAAGTGTAAACCCAGTGTATCGCAAAAACTTATTTATTTTTTCTAATGAAAATATTTGATAGTTCCTCCCTTTCCGATGAAAATATCTAAAAATTGTGCAAGCTTAAAGTTTCCTAGAAGTTTATCGTAATAGCTGACAGTGTTGAGATAGTTCAGATATTTAGAGCTAGCTCTAATTTTATTCTTCGGATTCATTCTTTGCAGCAGAGTTTTGATAATTTCAAAGTAATTAAGACTGAAGACGAATTTCCAGTAACCTATAATTTCAATTAAAGGGTGTTAAAAAAAAATCAAACACCACTTTTTTCTCTCACAGGCTTAATTATCTTAGGAAGATACCATAGCTTTTCTAACTTTTAACACATTAACATAGAACATATTTGGGCCCAAACTCAGTAATTATACATCATTAAAATGTTTTTTATGTCTCAAATGAATCCTAAAAGATTTCTCCACAATACTACATTCTCAGTTCAACTACCATACATTGTCGGTCACTCCCTTTAAAGGGTACCCTTGTGAATTGGGTTTCCAAAAACTGAGGAATGTTGGATTGGCCAATCGAAAATTTCTCGAAGTTTCTTGTCTAGAAGTTACGTCAACAGTCAAAACAAAAAATTGATTAATTAAAAACCAATTTCTGCCCACGAGCGGGGGAAGGCAGGCGGTCAAGCCACAACATTTTTCCGTTCCATGCCACATATTAGCTTTTTTGTCTTCCAGCAGCCATGAGCCACAACCGTACGGTCTTCCTATCCACAGCATTTGAGTCTTCCGGCAGTTATTATGTTTTTAAATAATAAGTTTAGTGCCCTGAAATTGTGAAATTCAAAAGTCCAGCGACGTCATGAAAAAGATATACATAAAGAACGTTATATTCAAATTTTTTTATTAAAATATTGATGATTTCTTTTAATGTAAACTGCTAAACTTAAAAACTGCATAACTGAAAATTTGCACAATTTAACGAGAAAATTGCAAAATAGACTTTTTTTTGAGAACATCAGTAACGCTCAGGTAATGACAGTTAATATTGTGATTTTTCTCATCTTTTCTATTCTTTAGAATACCCCAAACAATTTGTCCCGGTGTCCACAATGCGTAAAATGATGTAAAATTTTCTTCGTAAAATAAACTAAACACACAATTCATTGTTCTTTAATAAACTTCAAAACCTTAAAGGTATGATGTTTCGCGTAATACGTAATTTTTGAAAATTGCAATTTCAATGCCTCAAATTTATTGTTTAAAAATGTTGTGGCTTATCTTCCCCCTCTCGCCTTAAACCGAAAAACAAAATTTCCTTGTCGGGAAAATTCTTGAAAATTTCTTTAAGTTGTAGAATTCTTCCAGCGTTTTTCTCAGTACTCGTACATCACTACCTTCAAATATTCACAGTGAACATCTTACTAACAGATATTTAATTAAAGCATTTCACAAAGTTTTGCATGGTAAATGTTAGCTCAAGCACCTCTGCATCTTCAATAAAAGTAAATTCAACCTGTATGAATCATAAAGTCTGACCGCGTCAACCTTGTTGCACCGGCTAGTCCTGTTCATAGAGCTAGGTACAGTATAAACTGGGACCGGAAAGGTTGACCCGGCTCGGCAATTTAAATAGACTACGGCTGCCCGTGAGCTGGTAAATGTATTTCCTTCTGACTATTGAAGTTATAAGTACTCGGCATTAGTTTAATTAGTCGGCGATTGTTTTAAAAATCTGTCTGATTTAGTAAAAAAAATATTGGGAGAAAAATTTGGGAAAATTGTACCATGCATGAAAAATGAAAATATCTTATTTTACAAGAACTGTTAAACACAATAATAACAATTTATACAGATGTTAAAGGATTTCATAATGACGTGAATACTGAAATGATAAATATGCTATTACTAAAATTGTATGTCACCCAATATTTTTTCATTGTTTTTTATTGTTGTTGTAAAACTATATATTAGAATTTTTTTCTAAACAATACACCATTAATTTCTGCATATAATCTGTATATCTTTGTGTGTGATTAGGTTTAATAAAAATAATATCATATTTTTCGATCAAAGGAATTGAGTCTTTGTCGCAAACTCTGATTTTCTAATCTCAATATTTTTGCAACCCATTTACTTAGATATATGAATTCTGTTGTATTGAATGATTTACGTTGGAAATAAAAAGGTGTACACCAACAGGTTGCAAAGATAAAGGGATTAAAATTGAGTTTGTGACAAAGTCTCAATTCCTTTTATATTTGTACCTAGCTAGGAACTACTATGAACGACGAATTTTCACATTTTAAATTATGGAATCTGTTTTCTCAACTAAAATTCAATAATCTATGATTTATCTCCTACAAAGAAAAAACTATTTAAATATGATTATTTACAAATATAAATCAAACTGAGTAAAATGCACATTGATCCATGATTTATGACTTGAAAGCAAAACTGAAAATTTATAAATCAAAGAAGTTAGGATTTATCAGTTAAAAAATACTAGAGAAATAAATATCTATTTAAACAATACATAATAAGCAAAACCAAATTAACCAAATAAGGAAAAATTCCAAACAATACAAATTAAACAAAGAACTGAATTCTACAAGATCAAATTGCCAAAGTTGGAAAAATTTTAGATTTGATAAAATTGTTCAAACCCTTTAAAAAAAATACAAACTAAACTACTTAAAGGTTACTGAAACACCGCACTAAAAAGCTGAAAATTGTATTGAAAACTGCAAAACTATTCACAGTACTAGAAAAAAAATTTATTTAGAATTTTGTTTTTTTTTATGATTTGGTTGCTTGCAACTGTCAATATTTTTCATAATTTGACAAATCATCTATTACAGCATTAAAGGGTAAATTTTAGTAAGAATCCCAAAGTTAACATGCAGAAAGTCGAAATGAAAGTGTTCTAGGTCGTCATGAAAGACTCATCATCCTTATTGAATAAATGAACCAACCACTCGACTACATGATCAAAGATGGTCCTAATATGTAATAATAAATATAGAAGCCTTGAAATGGACTTGGAGCAAAAACTTATTTTATATATATATATATATATATATATACCTGTAAATTCGTCAAGTATAACAGGAATATACAAGGATATCTCCTTGACGTGTCTAGGATACAGATTGTAGGTCTATACCTGTAAATCTATCAAGTATACCAGGGATATACAAGGATATCTCCTTGACGTGTCTAGGATACAGATTGTAGGTTTATACCTGTAAATCTGTCAAGTATAACAGGAATATACAAGGATATCTCCTTGACGTGTCTAGGATACAGATTGTAGGTTTATACCTGTAAATCTGTCAAGTATACCAGGTATATACGAGTATATCTCCTTGACGTTTCTAGGATACAGATTGTAGGTTTATACCTGTAAATCTGTCAAGTATACCAGGAATATACGAGTATATCTCCTTGACGTTTCTAGGATACAGATTGTAGGTTTATACCTGTAAATCTGTCAAGTATACCAGGTATATAAGAGGACCTCTCCTTGACTTGTCTAGGATACAGATTCTGCTTCTTGATATCATCATCATCAAGGGTTCTTACAAACTTTCTATAATCAATACTTAAGAGTGGAAAATACCCTCGCTCCCCCCTTTATTTTACAGGATTTAAAAAAAAAATTAAATATACTATTTTTCGAGGAATTTTTTTTTATATGAAAGTCAAAATTTTAGAAATTTATTTATTATATTCAGAACTTCTTAACTTTTCTGTCGAACTACAAATAATACGTATTAGCGATTTCAGAGCAGGAATCTCATGTGTTGGATACCCTATATCCCATTAGCTTAATCTCGATATCCACTGCTTTATCTTTTAGATATCCCTGCTGGGTTCCAACCATTGAGAGTTCCCTTATTGGTTGCGTGCAAAATTTCCCGGCTTCTTATTGGCTGTTTGGTTTCTGCAAACGACACTCTGATTGGTTAAATTTTAGACACTTTCCTGTATATCAAATATTTAATCAATCTGCAGATTAACAAAAAGAGGAGATCAAGCATTAATCTCGATTTCCAAAAAAAGAATTTCTACCTCTGTATGTATTAAAAATACAAAACTCCTGGCCAAATATTTGTATTTTAAGAACATAAATCATCCATGGAGCACGTGTCATTAAAGGGACAGACCGACTATGTAAGGTAGTTGAACTGAGTATGCAGTGTTGTGGAAAAATTCTTTTGGATTCATTTGAGACATATTAAACGTTACTTTCCACGATGTATATTTACTGAGTTTGAGCGTAAAGTCGACGTTAAAAACTCCTACTTTGGGGGTGGATACGTTTTCAGAATTAGTTTTTCTTAAATTATTAAATAACGACGACATAAAGTGAAACAAGTGCTACAATAAACTACAGACGTCAGGTGTGAGGAAAAATTTAAATAATTGTATTTCAAGGACATAATTTTCATCCACGGAGCAGTGGAGCACGTGCCATTAAATGAATTCCTATATTGCCCCCCTGCTAAGTTTTTTACTTTAAAATTTAGTTTTTGATTGTTTTAACATTGTAAACAAACAAGGATAAAGATAAAAAGTTTGCCTGGTGTAAACAGCGGGATTAAAGCCTAGGTTCATTATCTTCATTAAACAGAGTTAAAAACATGGCTAGGTACTTTCCCAAAAGCATTTTCCCTAGCGTCAACTTGCCGGTGGTATTTTCGAAAGTGGCAACTTCCGAAATGTACAATTTTCCAAGCAATCGGAAACTTTCCATGTCTGTTCTAACTGCAGCGCCCGGTCCAAATGGGAAGTTGCCGCTTGGGAAATTGTCCCTTGGAAAGTTGCCTTTGGGAAAATGTCTTTAGGAAAATATCTAATACCTTGGCTAGATGATATTAAATATAATAAACTGGAATTCCATGGAATCAATATTTTAAAAATATAGTTTTTTTTCTGCATAGAATTCTTGAGCTGTTTTCCTATTCAAAAAGTGTACTATCTCCCTCAACCCCCCCCCCCCCCCCCCTAAACAATTTCATGTTAAAATAAAGTTACATCTGTTAATCTAAGATTCCTAAAGAGTTAACTTTATTCAGATCAAAATCCAGAAGTTGACAAGACCCACTCTTCCTAAACAATAACGGGACAAAGTTAATAGGATTATTTATAGAGTAGCATTTTAGATTCACAAGTTACACGCGGATTCTCAGCACTGACACTATAGATTCACAAGTTACACGCGGATTCTCAGCACTGACACTATAGATTCACAATGTACACGCGGGTTCTCAGCACTGACACTATAGATTCACAATGTACACGCGGGTTCTCAGCACTGACACTATAGATTCACAATGTACACGCGGGTTCTCAGCACTGACACTATAGATTCACAATGTACACGCGGGTTCTCAGCACTGACACTATAGATTCACAATGTACACGCGGGGTGGGTTCTCAGCACTGACACTATAGATTCACAATGTACACGTGGATTCTCAGCACTGACACTACAGATTCACAATGTACATGCGGGTTCTCAGCACTGACACTATAGATTTACAATGTACACGCGGGTTCTCAGCACTGACACTATAGATTCACAATGTACACGCGGGGTGGGTTCTCACCACTGACACTATAGATTCACAATGTACACGTGGATTCTCAGCGCTGACACTACAGATTCACAATGTACATGCGGGTTCTCAGCACTGACACTATAGATTTACAATGTACACGTGGATTCTCAGCACTGACACTATAGATTCACAATGTACACGCGGGTTCTCAGCACTGACACAGTAGATTCACAATGTACACGCGGGTTCTCAGCACTGACACTATAGATTCAGCTTGAAGATTCCTTCATAGTCAATGATTCAAGGGTTAAAATAGTGCCTTATCTTGACATCCGGTTATTATTTTAACCTTGATGTTCTCAACAAATATACAATCATATGCCTTTATGGCGCTTCGCGCCCCTCTTCTTGCAATCACTAGAGGGAATTCATTTTCACTGGAGGGGTTTTAAAAAATGCTTTTTACAATTTAAAACTTTACGTAGGGTGATTTACATTCCACTTGAGGGATTCAGATATCAAGCTAAAATAATTTTAAGAGAACGAGACACGAAGAGCCCTGGAAGCCTAGTATATAAATAAGACGTAAAAGAAGAAAGTTAGATAGTAAGTATATCATATCAAAGATTTTTATTTATCTGGAGTGAAACCCATCGAACTGTGAGATTTAATGTTGTTATGAAACAAATTTTTTTACCTCTATTTTGGAATGGGTCTGCAAGTAAACTGCAAAATCGCTTTGTTTAATGTAACCTTCCCCCCCCCCTAACGGTTTGTTTTCTGCCCCCTAAAAAAACCCTATTAAGAAATTTTTCAAATAAGGTTAAGGTTTATATTAAGAATTTAATGAATTGTCAATTGATAAGAAAAGAAAATATATGTAAGTTTAATTATATTAGGGCTGGAGGCCTGCAGGGTGAGCATAGGGAGGCATGTCTAGGGGGTACACAGGGTTCCAGACCCCCCCCCCGTGCGCCCCTGTGCCTATTTTAAAGTTGTGTGGTTACCACCGTATTATGTATTAGATATTTTTAGAATAAATAATGAATACATTTGTTCTTTATCTATAAAGATATACTAGATACTGGATACCTGGCATGGTTAGACAATGCAGCTGGGGGAACATGATATCCAATTATCTGGAACATTTCTTCAACCTAAACGAATCACACAAGAACATATATTTGGGTCTGGGAGTCCATTTAACATTATATTTGGGTCTGGGAGTCCATTTAACATTATATTTGGGTCTGGGAGTTCATTTAACATTATATTTGGGTCTGGGAGTCCATTTAACATTATATTTGGGTCTGGGAGTCCATTTAACATTATATTTGGGTCTAGGAGTTCATTCGACACTATATTTGGGCCTGGGAAGTCACATCTTTATATAAACCCCAAATGTAAACAATCGATTTTCGGCTGGATTAATATGAATATTTTCATCTAGATACTTGTTAAATTACTAAAATCAGAAAGTTTTCGATAAAAATCTTGACTTAAGAAGTATCTTATCTCCATCTCTCAACAGATCCAAGCTTAAAAAAACAATAAGGAATCTAACCATTGGTCGGTTTATTAGAGCATCCAGAGTATCATTGAGCGCAGCAGGTCTAGAAAAAAGAAACTTTTAATTTCAAAATTCAATCAACGCATAGATAATTTTACTAGTTAATATTACATTGATGCTTTAGACTTTTTCTCTGAACATTGGAATTTTAATGTATTTTATAAATATAAAAAGAATGTTTAAAAGAATCGAGATAAATTGGTAATAAAAATATATTTTATAATTTCTGTGGAAAACATTAACTTTATGATATTCGAAAATGAATGCTCTTGAAGTAAATTGTACTTTCAAAAAAAATGTTATAGATAATATATATAGATAATTAAGATAATATATTCCCCTGTAAAACTAGGTTCCTGGTATTTATCTCTATAAGATAATATATTCCCCTGTAAATCTAGGTTCCTGGTATTTATCTCTATAAGATAATAAGATTAGGAGTCCAGCCCAGCTTTTCCTGGAACTAGATTAGGTGTCCAGCCCAGCTTTTCCTGAAACTAGATTAGGAGTCCAGCCCAGCTTTTCCTTAAAACTAAACTTTCTCGTGGTTCTAACAGAGTTCCCCTAATCATAATTTGAGGCAAATCGGTCTAGTGGTTTCCTATCTTTGAGAATTATCATCGGAAGTACAAAAAAGAGCCAGACAAACAAAGAGTATTAATTTACATATAGACTAGTTTGGGAACCCAGCTTTGCCCAGGTTACCCATTTACCCACCCTTGGTCTTTAATTACGATTTTAGCTATTAATTATAAAAGTCAACTTAAATCTCAAACCAAACTAATAACATTCCCGTGGTTCTCCCGAGTTCCCCAATCAAGATTTGAGGCAAATTGGTCAAGGAGTTCCTAAATTATGATCGTACATACAAAAAACTAAAATAAACAAACGGAGTTTACTACTGAATGATAGAGAAACAGTATACAGCCATAGCAAACCAGTTTTAAAATTGTTTTAATATAAAACAAAAGAATATCCGAACTATAGTGTATCTCTTTCTTTGCAAAAAAAACCTTTAAAAGTAAAAAATTACAAAACAAAAATTCACAAATCAATCTTACCTAATAGAGTCTAGACCACAGAAAATACTTTTAATAACTATATCCTGTATATCAGACCAAACCTGTACATAATAAATTAAATTTAAAAAAAAAAGAAAATTGATCCCTCCCCTTGGAGAGGAAAACAAAAAAGACGATAAAATTCTTGCATGTTAAAGACATATTTTTTTCCAAAGAAAGAACGCTCCGAGGGAATGAAAAGAGTGAAAAGTAGTCAAGGTTGTAGTTGTCTGCTCAGCAGAATCCTAACAAGGTAGAGATACTGATAGATCCTTTGAAAAGTAGGGCGATCCATTTGATCGCTTTACAAATATTGTTGTACTATTTATCTCCTGTATTATAACTCAAATGTTGTACTTTTTATCTGCTGTGTTGTGTATCTAATACAAAGCTTTGATCTTTATTGTAAACAATTCCTAATCAAACAACAGAACTGTTAGAGAAGATGATTATTACGTCAGAAAAATAGTCAGAATTACCGGAGAGGCAAATTTAATCGTTGACCAAAATTCTCGAGTTTCATTTTTGGGGTATTTACATTTGTGTAGATTTACATCAAGAAGTACAAAATAAAGAGAAAACATAAAGCCAAAGAGAATAGAATATATATTAGAGTGGAATTTAGAAAATCCCTCGGTATGCATTTTTTCAGTCCCTTTCAGTCTGAAAGGGAGTTCAAAGTGTACAAATCATGTAAAAGTACATTAAAACAGTATGCTTCCTAGACTATTCATTTAAATTTCGAATTTTTTAAAGCTGTTAAATAAACTTTATAAAATTAATTAGGTGAATAAAAAACATTATTTGATTTATAGTTATAACGGAAAATCATCGTTTGTAAAGTGAAAAGCCTAGAGTCTATGTAAAATGATCATTGGTCAATTATGAAACCAACCTATTTCATAATTTGGTTTTCTTTTAATATTAATTTTAGATTTTCTATAAAATATTGTTCTAGGGCCCAAAAGGTTATATAGCGCAAATATGTGAAGTACACCTGCAATATGGAAACAGTAAAACAAAATGGCCGTTTACACTTTTTTCTAGTAAATTCCACTCTAATGTATATTCTATTCTCTTTGTATAAAGCTAATCATATAAAATAATATTTCTTTAAAAACATATTGATACCTACAAAATTGCCTAACCCCATTTATGAAAACCGGTTTCCGATACTGGGTTTCATAAAGATACCCTGTCTTAAGTTTCGGGCTTAGACAGGACACACTGTACTTCAAAAATTCTTTGCAAGCTGAAGTATGCGCATAACAGCTGAACTGGTAACTTTTGAATACACAGTTTTTAACTAATTTAAATCGAGCTTAGGTTATACTTATTTGGCAGGGAGTTTTATACCAATCTATTCTTGGTCAATTGTTGTAACAATTACAAATTGTCCAAAAAGCCTTGGGAGGAGAGAAATAATTTGCTTTTCTCGATCGATTTGAATCAGGTCCGCTGATTCAAAAGTTACCAGCTCAGAAACACTTTCTTTCACATGCGTACGTCAGCAAAATGAAGTATTTTTATTGCGTAATACATATTTCATGTTTATATTGTCTCAGGAAAAAAATACGTTAAGAAACAGAAAACTGTGAAATATGAAGACGACTTTATGACTCCAATTATCAATAGTCCAATAAACATGGGACACAGTAATTTGGCAATATGCAAAAACCATTTTACTTAATCAGCGATTTTTAAGATACCATGGCAAAAACATTTGCGCTGTATCAACATCAAATACACATAAATATAGTACTTAATATCGTCTTCCGATTCCACAGTTGTATGGTTCTCGCGTTCTCACAATATATATATCTACATCTGTTTGAACCTGAAATGTATCTAAGCGTGCTGTGTTGGAACTATGTTCGGAGAGATATCTCCATAAACTAGACAAACTAAATAAAAAGGATAAATGTATCTAGAGTGCTGTGTTGGAACTATGTTCGGAGAGATATCTCCATAAACTAGACAAACTAAATAAAAAGGATAAATGTATCTAGAGTGCTGTGTTGGAACTATGTTCGGAGAGATATCTCCATAAACTAGACAAACTAAATAGAAAGGATAATTGGTTACACTCACAATTCAAAAAAAGAAATTAAGTCTTGTTCACACAATCTGATTTTCTAATCCCTATATCTTTGCAACCCAATGCCATAACCTTAGATATTTAAAACTATGAATTCTGTTCAATCAAATAATCTAAGCTTAAAATCAGATTGCTAACATATTGGGATTTGAAAATAAGAGTTTGTTGCAAAGGTTCATTACCTTTCCAGAAAACTTGATGATTTATGCTTTTATTCAGTTCGTTAAATTATTTAATAGATAAGTATTTCAAAATTAGAATATTTTATCCAACAGAATTCATAGTTTGAAATATCTAAGGTCTTTGACATGTGGGTTGCAAAGATATACGGATTAGAAAATCAGAGTTTGAGGCAAAGACCCAATTCCTTTCATTTTGATCCCTTCCATAAAAATGTTGATATTTTTTTGAAGTTTAAACTTGTCCACAATTTTCCTTAAGTATTTTTTAGGGATTGTCCGCTGTAAAGGGACTGTAAGCGTAATTTTAAATGACCCTCTATGCAAAGATGGTAATGCTTGATTCACAACAGTACCCTTGAAATCTTTATCTGATCTATAAATAAGAAGATATTGTCGTTTTCTATGTTTAAAAGTGCTAGATTCTGTTAATTTCTATATGATTTCGTGTAGTATAAATGCGCAAGTTACTTTTGCAGGGAATCCACGATTGAAAATAATATTCATACTTATCTCGGGTAATGCCATCTTTCCCATGGGAGATTACTTGAAATTAACCTTCAAGGTTCTCCTGTACAGTAATGTTAAGTAATGTTACCTCCACTTGTTCCCAGTGGGAAGATCAGGACTGGTGTTGATCACAAACTTATCTGAATCCTTGTTGATCGCATAGTTGGTAACATGAACCCTAAACATAGTTGGTAACATGAACCCTTAACATAGTTGGTAACATGAACCCTGAACATAGTTGGTAACATGAACCCTAGACCTAACTGGTAACATGAATCTTAAACATGGTATCATGAACCCTAAACATAGTAACATGAAACCTAAACATAGTTAGTAACATGAACCCTAAACATTGCTGGTAACACGAACCCTAAACATAGTTGGTAACATGAACCATAAACATAGTTAGTAACATAAACCCTAAACAGTAAACATAGTTTATAACATGAATCCTAAACATGGTAACATGAACCCTAAACATCATTAGTTACATGAACCCTAAACATGGCAACATGAACCCTAAACATGGAAACATGAACCCTAAACATAGTTGGTAACATGAACCCTAAGCATGGTAACATGAACCCTAAACATAGTTGGTAACATAAACCCTAGACATGGTAACAGGAACCCTAAACAAGTATAGTAACATGAACCGTAGGCATAGTTGGTAACATGAACCCTAAGCATGGTAACATGAACCCAAAACATGGTAACATGAACCTAAACATAGTTGGTAACATTAACCCTAAACATAGTTGGTGACATGAACCCTAAATATGGTAACATAAACATAAACATAGTTGGTAACATTAACCCTAAACATAGTTGGTAACATGAACCCTAAATATGGTAACATGAACCTAAACATAGTTGGTAACATGAACCCTGAACATAGTTGGTAACATTAACCCTATACATAATTGGCAACATGAACCCTAAATATGGTAACATGAACCCTAAACATGGTAACATGAACCCTAAACATAGTTGGTAACTCAACGTAAACTTTAATTTTATGAGATGAAAAAAAGGACAAAGGTTCATGAAAAAGTTTCTGTTGTGCAAAAGTAATCTATATAATAAAGCTTTTCTTTCATTTATATGTGTGACAGCTCTGGTTTCTTTACAGGTCTAGGAGGGGCACTGTCCCCCTTGCCCCCCCCTCTGTATACGCCCTTGGGGTTGGACATGAAAATTGCCAAAGTCTCTGAATAAAATTCAAGCTCAATTTTTTTTAAATGTTGCAAAAATGTGTTGAATCTTAATATTATTTTAATAGCGAAGCAGGAGACATTTGGCCTAATTGCTCTTACTGTAGAATCGTGCTATCTTTTCAACCTTCAGTAGACCTATATCACATAGTCAATGATTAAAAGGTTTCAAGAATATATGCCAATTATAAAATCTATGCTGCTGGCGATTAATTAGTATTATAGTCCTGACGAATCAACTGTGTATTATTATTACCTTGAGTTGCTGAGAACTGCTGTATCTAAACTGTATTTCTCAGTTGCAAACCTTACTGTAAATTGCACAATCAAAACATAATACTTAGATGCACATTTTGTAAAATACATTATAATATATTAAAGACACAAAGAAAGGAATTTAGTCTGAAATGTTTGAATCCCTCCCTGTATCTTTACAACTTGATAGTGTTAATCTTTGATATTTCAAACTAAGGTTGATCTAACAGAATCAAAGTTTGAAATATCTAAAGTCTACGAATTATGTTGCAAAAATGTAGGGTTAAGAGAATCAGAGTTTGTGGCAAAGACTCTACTTCTTTCCTGTGTCTAAAAATAAAATGAATTAGAATTATGAAAAAATTATAAATGTGAATCGTAATATTTGTTTGTTTTCCTAGTCCTTCGTCATAAATGTAGATTCTTAAAGGATCCAAGCTTGTCAACAAAACATAAATTCTAAAATAAAATATTTATGGGATTAATATTATTATATACAATGTCACAAATATTACATATGCTACAACGTTACATTTTTGCGGATTGGTTTTTAGATAAAAACAATTTTAATTCAATCTAGAAATACAGCTTTATAAGTTTATATGGGGTTATTTACCCCCCCCCTAGAATCCTGGGGGTAAATACCCCCCCCTAGAATCCCGGGGGTAAATACCCCCCCCTAGAATCCTGGGGGTAAATACCCCCCCCCTAGAATCCAGGGGTTAAATACCCCCCCCTAGAATTCTAGGGGTAATTACCCCTGAACATATTTTCAGGCCCTGAATAGCAGGGGTTACTCCATTTGCTGCCTCTACAAGTAACAGTTCCAGTTGCCTTGACCCCTTCCCTTCAAAAAAA